GTTACTGCGCATTCCCCAGAACAGTTGAACTCGTATGCTGGTTGATGTTTCCCCGGCCGAGCCCACAGGAAGAAGCAAATCACAACACCTCTGTCAAGGCTTAGTTGTACCGGGAGGCTTTGTGGGAACATTTGGGAACTGGGTTGGGTTGTTGGCAGGATTGTGCCCCACAGGACTCCCCGACAACAACAACAACAAAAAAAAAAAAAATCATCGATGATACCAAATTGGTGGTATCACTGGGATATCATGGGGATAATGGTATATAACCACTGGAGCAATCGGAATTGGATTCGCCAAACGGCTCAACCTCAGGTTGGTGAATTCGAATCATATATCCAGGTCCGTCCAATATCCCATCATATCTGCATAACATGTTGGTTATATCATGTTATATCCCCATCATATCCCATTTTAGCCTCATTTGACCCAAGAATGGATGAACACATCGAATTTTTAGAAGGTGATGTTCCTTTGTTGACATTGTGGCCTTGGGTAATTGTGCATGCGACATCGGCCGGGGAGATAGCACCCATTGTTTTTTTCTTGCAGTATCATTTTTTTTGGTAGCTGATTTTCTGGCTAATAATCCCTGATTCTTGCAGTAATATAATTTCTGGCTACACCCTGATTTTAGCCTCTTAATTGCCCAACATTCCTGGCAACTCCATTTGTTCATTTCTCTGAAAATTACTAATTTGATCCTTGTGAGTGAGATCACTGAAAACATGTTTGTTTTTTTTTACTTGTTATATCTTTACGTATATATATATAATATGTGATTTTGTCCTTTCCAAACCCATCATATGTGTTTCTTCGAAAAACACTGAACAAATAATTTCGCCTTGGACAATCACTGAAGTCATTTCTTGCTGCAGGCAAATCACTGAAATCACCATGTTTTTTTCCCCAAAACAAATTTGCTTTGGCATGACCGGTAGGTAGTGAGTGTGTGTTGGCGGTGCGTTTGCCGCAACCAGCTCCACCCGGAAGCAACTGCTTGGAGGCGCTATTGGAGATCACCGTTGTGACCGATGATTACTGTTGAATTTAAGACACGAACATGGAATGGTGGGCACCCACAGAAAGGACATTAACATTAAGTACGGCAAATTACATTTTTAGTATAGATGTGTTCAAATTTACTCGAGAAATTGGATTCAAGATGATTAAAGGCTTGTATAGGCTGGTTACATCCATATTCGGAAATCGCAGCTACACCTTTGACAAATTTGACCTTGGCTAGCGAACTGGGGCCAGGTGAAAGCGAATGTGATGGACCTCACTGGGAAAGCAGTGCTGGTGGTTTGGGCCCTGGGGTGTGGCTATGGTCAAGCCTTGTAGATGGACAACCCTAATGCAAGGGGTATAGGAAACCCCAAAAAGATGCATGAAATCCAATCTGGAAAAACATAGCCAGCCACAAACAGAATCCTAAAGTATCTAAAAGTGATCCATCCAATCCAAAAATAGTAGGTTGAACGTGCCAAGGGCCAACTTAAGACTTGAGGGTCATTAGCAGGAATTAAATCGCAGGAATGGTCAGATGGCTGCCACTTAAGTCACTAACAGGATCTAAGCAACTAAAGGGTTTTAGCAACTTTTTGGCAGAAATTCCTCGCATTCATCGTTGGATTTTGCGCCCGTATTCACTTTGAGCTGGGGTGTGGAGCAAGAAACACGCCGTTTCTGGTGGATGTATCCCAAATTTCCAGGCAATTTTTGGCACGGTTTTCACCCTTCAATGGGTTTGTCAAAGGCAACATCCACAGGATCCACAGGGACTGTGGATTGGTTGGTTGTTCTGCGAATTTCTGCCATCCAACCATTAGCTTTCCTCAAGTGGTGCTTGAAGATGTGAATGCTTCGCTCATTTCCCCCTGTGGCGTTATGCAACATCCGAATCATTGGCGCTTGCAGCTGCCTGCTCTGAGGCCACCCTGCGACCTGCTAGCCTACAGGCGACCTTTGGGAGAGTTCTTTAGTTTCATCCCATCCTCTTAATATGTTCACCACCCAATAGAAACCGTGTCTTTTTGGAGGGAATTTCCACATCATTGGGACCATTTAGGGATATTTAGGGTGTGTTTAATATTGGGGGGATGGTAAATGGTATTACTTAGACCTTTTGTCACAGAATGGGCGATAAGAATGCTAACCGCTACCCAACAAAAAGGGGGCCTATGACTCCGGGCTATCAACATCCCATTGGTCCAGCATGTGGATAGCTGAGGCCACAACAGGCACAATCATCGCAACTGGGGATTCAGGAGATACCATCCAACTACTACCACGCTCCAACATAGACAAATCACTGCTTGTTGGAGGAATGTAGTTTTTCAACCCCCCTGTTTGATTACCACTTGTTTGCCATAGAGGTGTTTGTCATCAAAGTGGTTTTCCAATCGAGTTTTACCACTAGAAATGGGGGATCCCCAAGTCACCAGTCATCCAGGCCTTGTCCAAAGACCCTGCTGCCCTTGTCTCAGTGTGTCGCCAGTGAAAGAGGATGAGTTGTATTGACTTGCTGTATTTGAATGAGTTTTCTGCATATTTATTGCATATATCACATATATATATATGCATATATATGCATATAAATATATACATATATATATATATATGCATGTGTATACAGCACACAAAAATATATGTAAATATATCTTTATGTGTATATATATATGTGTGTGTAACAAAAGCCAATGGCTGTTGATCCACTGGTTTGTGTGAATCTCTCACTATGTGTACACAAGTAGATACTTTGATAGATAGACAGACAGACAGATAGCGCACCCTAGGTCTTCATGGGAAAAACTGACCCAGCTCGGTGAGACTACATATGGAAAACCCATTCGAGTGTAGTTTAATAAGTTATTAAATAATGCCACGTGCATTCAAATAAAAACAAAAACATATCATCCGACAGTTAGTTTTGTGTTTCAATATCAGTACAGTATGTAAAAAAAACTATAGTTATATATATATATGTATATACCCATATAGTGTCATATAAATCCTATATCACCTATATTGGTGTATGATTTAATAGAAATTCCTCAGCGTTGCCGAGGTGGTTCTATCTCCCACCTCTGCTCAGCACCTTGGTAGCTTCAGTCGAAATACCTACGAATAAGAATGGAATTGTTGACGGGATCTAACTATGAACCAATGGGGATTTTTAGAATAGTTAGGCATAGTTAAAGTCCGGAAATGTCCGAAAACAAATCCGCTGGCTCAAAAATCTAACTATGAAGCAAACCAATAAGATTTGTTTTGCTGGATATGTATGATTGGATATGGATGTGTCTGAAAACGGGGTATACCGGTAGCTAATGACCATCTGAATCGGAAAATATCATGATTGACAATTGGATACAAATTGGGGTAGCCTATTTTGAGACAACGCCAAATACCCATTGTTTGACGTGAAAAGACACCCATCCAGTGATCATTCAGAGTTTGTTGAATGGAAAAACACACCGGAATACCCAAAATGTTCGCTTAGACCACTCCATTGGCGATAATTCATAGCTTCAAAAAGTTCCAAAACAACCAGCCGCAGATTTGATCAGTGATTGATATCTTGGGGAAAGCATCATCCAAACGCTAGCTGCCTTAGCAGCCTCTCATAGAGCGAACCGTAGCCTCCTAGGACTCTGAAGAACCAGGAGCTTGCGCGATGTTATGCCAGCCGAGGTGTGGTTCCATTACTGGGCCGTATGGTATCCATAAGTACCCTCTGGTAAACTAACATAGCTATTGAAAATGGCCATCTATACTGGATTTTCCCATGAAAAATGGTGATTTTCCATAGCCATGTTAAATTACCAGAGGGTATCCCATGTTCATTTGTTGAAAGAATAGTTTGCAGCGACAAATTGAAAACCAGGTTCGGATGGTGAAATTGGCATCGACATTTGCAAGGCGGGAAGGGGCGGAAAGTTGGCGGCAAAATGATGCTTTGGTGATGCTATGCTGCAAGGTAAGGACTTTACTTGTTGAATTGCAGGGTTTATTGGGGATATATGGATATATATATATATATGTATATATCACACGAAGTATACTTAATGGCTTAATGGGTTTATAACACAATAAATTATAACTATGGTTCTTCACTTTTGATAATTTCTATGTTTTTGTTGGGTTTACAGGATATCAATTGGTTTATTGAGGTCTTCTCACAGACTTCGGCAATCCGAAATGGCAATGGAGTGGAAAGTCACTTATTTTGGGATGAATTCTCTAGGTTCTCCATTGGGAAAGGCTATGGCTCGCTGCCATGTCTTGAAGACTTGTTTTTGCTCGCTCCGGCTGCGATACTGCAAGATCGGGCTCAAGTAGCTGGATTCATGACCAATGACCAGATCTTTGTTGTAGTCTGTTGCAGTGAGTTTTTTTGTTTGTAGTCTATGTGTGAATGAAGTTATAAATGCTGTAAATTTCTGTCGCATTTTCTGGAAATGGGAGCTACGGAACTACTTAGAGTTTCCCAACCACATGATACTTAGAGTCAGATGGTTTATCAACTGGAATATGGCTTAACTGCCCAACCCACCCAAACCCTTGTGCGTCGAGAGTCATCACTGATTGGTGGTTTCGCACGTTCCTTCACCCAGTGATGCTGTTTCAATTGGCCACGAATTTTAAGAGTGGGTTGACCATCATCACATCATTTCAAACAAACACGTAGGTACATTTGGCACTTTCAGCTGCTTTAACCACAGCCATAGCAGTTTTAGCCCCAAAAGGATCAAAAAGCAATTCAAGTGTGCCACTATACACCCTCTGGTAATCTCACATAGCTATTGAAGCCATGGCCCATAGAAATAGTTGGTTGACTTCTTAAAGATGGTGATTTTCCATGGCTATGTTAGTTTACCAGGGTAACCATCATTCACCATGATTTTCCCATGAAATCATAACTGGATGTTCTTCTCCAATCTTGTTTGGGTTTTCACCCGAAGGCAGCTGTCGTTAAGTCCAGTGGTTTGTTCGCCATGGACGTTCCTGCTGAGCTGGTTGCCTTCGCAGAAGACTTGGCCGACGTGGCGGGCAAGGTGATTCTCCAGTACCGAAGTGGCGAAGTCTGGTCGGGTGGAATTGGCCCAAGCCAAACGGTGGTTATTTAGTAATACATATACCATATATTACCATTCTGGAGTCCCACCATATACCGGAATTTACCAATCTTTTCGCCATAAGGGTGGTATATTACGGTATATGCTAGCCAGCTCACCAATGTCAAAGCTGAGATTGCTTTGAGATGCCTTAGGTTGAGGTCGAAACCTGGGTTGGGTGGAGTACTTGGGTGATTGGCTCTTGAGCCTTAACAAATAGCCCGAAGTGATCGAAGTGAGAAGGTTTGATCAACCCCCGCTGTTCGGATTCGTAGGATGTCCAAGATTGGCCAAGTGAAGGGTTGTGAACACATGGGAACTCACAATACATATTTACATTATACATATTATATATTATGGTTCCATAGTTCCTTATTTTATGTACCCATTTGTTGTCGTGGCTGAAGCCATCAACTCCATGGGGTTTGTTGTTTCGCATGCGACCGCATGGGATGGTTCATCCTCGGGGGAACCCATGGGTTCGGAATGTTTAAAGCTGGGAGATACCCTCCCTATGGATCCAGTCGTACCTTCTTAGGAAGTGGGACTGGGGTATGATTTGGAGGGTTAAGTACCCTCTGGCAAACTAACATAACTATGGAAAATCACAATTTTCAATGGGTAAATCCACTATAAATGGCCATGTTCAATAGCTATGTTAAATTACCAGAGGGTACCTTCTCAGACAGTGGCCATGGATCCATAGGGCTTGAACGTTTGGAAGCCTCTTCACCGGCAACATTTGGATCATTTGGATGGTTGGTCCCGGCAGCAACATTTGGAAAGCGCGCTGTGCGTTTGTGTGTTCCATTGCCCCATTGCCTTGCCCAAGGTATTGGCGCAAACCTGTCTCTTGCCAACAATTTCTGCTCATGGATGGGGATTCAGCCATTGCCCGCTGGTCAAATGTGGTCAACTTTACACCACGGCTGCCTCGTTGATGCACAACTCCCGAATTTTCTACCGTTAAATCTCCATGATAGCTAGCTCCATTAAAAACCCCGTTAAATCCACCCTATGGACTATGTAAACATGTGTAAACATAATAAAATATTAAATATAAAATAATATATATATATAATATAATATAATATAATATAATATAATATAATATATGGATGTCTAAGAATTTCTAAGACATGTCTTTTCCAGCATTTTTTTCCACATGTTTTGGTCATGGTTCCAGTGATCTCACAGGTTACAGTGGAGTCCAAGCATGAACCCGGGCGCCCGATCCCGGAAAGCCCCGTGACCTTAGCGGATCGTGAGGCGGAGGACGGGGCAGCTGGGAAAACCTTGGGAAAACCATGGGGAAAACATGGGAAAACATGGGGAAAACATGGGAACATATAGGAAAATATGGCATTTTAATGGTTTCTGATGGTTTGTGTTCGTATTAAACTCAGGATTAAGATGTGGATTTCTGTGATCATAATGTGGAATTGGTTTTCTATGTTTCGTAGATGTTTGTTTCCATGTCTGTGTCCGTTTTGGAGTATAGTTACCCAGTTCTTTAGGGAAATAAAACGTTCATGGCATTATTTATGGGGGATATGAGAAGCAACAATCATTCTTTGCCATGGCAGGATCACAGATGTATTGTCGGAGCAATTTCCCGGAAAGACGATGGTTGAAGCAAAGAATGTTTGGGAAGAAACAAAGTTGGGGATACCAACCTACCACCACAATGTGGTGTGCCCCCCCAGGTATGAGTTGACGGAAAAAAAGAACCATTGGCTAGTTCGAGTTCGATCGTGTTCGATATATCTACAAGAAACTTATAACAGGTATTGGAGTTATGCACCACTGCACCACCTTGTAGAACCAGAGATGAGAAAAGCAAGAGCTGCTTGATCAGTTGACTCTCCTGCACATCAGTGGGAGGCCACAGATTAGTACCTATGGGAACTAAATCTGAACCCATACACCAACCTGCTAAAGTGCCCAAGAGGGTAATGTTCAGTGCGTATGGAAAACCATGAACTCAGTATATTTTAGTTGTTATCAAGAAGCAACGGCAAATAGCATCACATTGGTGATTCGCGGAAGCACTACAACACGGAGTGCTTTGTTGTGGATTACTTAATGAAGTATGATTTCCACATGCAGGGAAAGACACGGGGTGTTGTTTGTATGTACGCCGTACACGCGTCGTTTTTTTCCCACACTCAGAGGCCTTCCAAATTCCCAAAGGGAAGATATTTCGTTTGGATGAAGTCAGGCACAAACGAATCCAAACAATGTATGTAATGCATCAAAGCCAATGCCATCTGCACCACCCCCAACGATTTCGAATGATTTCGACCATCCCTGAACGGCAGTTCCTCAAATGGCGCCGATTCATAGGCCGATAGTCGTCGGAATCCACCAGATATTGCGATCATAGGACCCACTGTGGTAGCATACCGCAGCCCTGCACACTTTGTTACCAAAAACAAACGGCACGTGGTGAACCTCGAAATCTTTGGTTTGGTTTTATTCTTGGATTTGAGAAACTAAGGTTGTAGGCAAGGCCCCTAACTATATCGAGCCACTTCCTGGGACCAAGACCAGCAGGAAGCCATGCGAAAACTCATTGAAGCCAGGTGCCCTGTTTGGGTCTGGGCATCCAAACTGGATTATGGTGGGTCGCATATATTGAGCATGTTGGTGAATGCTCGTTTACCTATACACATTTCCTTGGATTTTGGCACATAATAAATCATAATAATGTATTGATTCGATAGTTGGATTGGAGCACTAGAATCACCAAACCAACTTGGGAAGAGTTTGGGGGAGTAAAGTTATATATGGAGAAGATGGATGTTTTGCTAGCAGTAGTGGTCAACTCTGCAAGTAGGACACACGACAGTTGGCGGTGCCACATGCTATGCTGACTACAGATGAACAAGACAAACCCTTTGTACTCCAGATCTAGCCGGCAAGTTTTTTACGTGTCCGATATGCCATTCTTGGACTACCTTGTCCCGTGCAGCTTACAGTCTCAAATTCCTGCACCAAAGTTGGCCCGGCGTGGTACAGATCACTTGTTGCGAAGCTCATGGCGATCCGACGAGTGCCTCCCACTTTGCCTACCGCTCTCAAGGCAAGATGCCTCGTTCGTGCCCTGCGCAGGCTGGTTTGGGGTTTGGGGCAGGATTGGCAAGGATCTTGGTACTTACCCCTGCACCCCTCAAAGTGCCAGTGAGAAATTGAGGTGTCCATCCTTAAAACCTTTCTTTACCTGGTTATGCATGATTTCAAGGTGGATCAAGCTTTGATTTGAACGCATGAAACGAAAACAGGTTCCGAATGGCTCGCTTCAGGTTTTCGAGCAACGACCTCTTTCTGCCAACAGATCAGTTTGCACAGCGACACTTGGGCCCTTTGCCCGCGGACGTGCAAGAGATGTGCAAGGCTCCGGTTTGAGAAGGGCAACTGAAGATGTGAAGTCTCACCTGACTGGACCATCTACCCTCCAGGTTTCATCAAACGTAGCTCACTGGGAAAATCCTGTCAACGAAGGTTTGAATGGGAAAATCACGGCGGATTTTCCATTGCCACGGTGATTACCAGATGGTATGTAGTTTTTGCCAAGTTGTCTGGACGCGGATTGAGGCCGCCATAGTCCTGAGATACATCGAAATACCCAAACCCCCGACACATATTTATGGTTTGGTCTTTTGCTTTCTCAATTAGCCTCCAAGGGTAAGTAAGGAAGCTACTCTTCAAGTGGATTACTTACATTACTTTGTAAGAACAACAATGGATAACCGCTATTGTGAGTGGCTTGCTCTGGAACCCCGCTAAAAGATAAAGCTACTCACTGCTGGTGGTGAGGTGTATTATGATCCTGCAGTAGAAAAGAATCGCCACCAACTTTGATATGCGTTTGTCAATGCTTTTAGAATCTTTTAGACATGAATTTCAGCACTTGAGGACCGTCATTTTAGATATGTTTAGATATTGTGTATTATAGTCCCTCATAGGCACATGGCCACGGATAAAAACTTTGACACCCTTGTCAGCATCAAAATAGCTGGCACATGAGTGTTCAATCCCGCAGATATGCGGTTATCACAAGCTTTGACCAACCTCCTTCCAGACAATTTTGGCAGGTAATATGGAAAACAACACATATAGCCGATGAAACGGCCCCCTGTTCCAACAACAGCTGCTGAAAGCGCAGGTCATTGGTGTGAAAGACTTGAATGAACTCATGGAGCAGCTTGGCTCCGGGAATCTTCCAGATCTCCCAGCCAGGAAATGATTTAAGCAGCTGAATTGAGAGGCTGTAAATGCTGTATAGGCCAGATCGTTATGGATCATTATGCGTCAAAACTTTTGTTGGACCATTTTGAGACCCAACTGTGAGTTCGTGTCCATGCTTGCCTGCCAGCATGGCAGGATAGGTTTGATGATGGATTTGCATGGATTTGGGTCGATGCCCAGTTTGCCTTTTTGAAACTTGTATATTTGATTTTGAGTGCTACCTATATATATACATATATATATATATACATATATATATGTATATATATATGTATGTATATACGTATGTATATATATATATATGGTACCCCCCCAAGACCTACATTTCAAGCAAATTTAGTCGTATTTACAGTGTTTTTCTGAACATTTTGGACTAAAACTTAGTGCATTTTTTTGTGATCAAAAATTGCATTTTTTGCAACTTTGTTCCCATCCCAACCTTCCCTAAGTACATCGGATTCAAGATTCAAGATTCCAGATCCCCAAAAGACTTCTTGAACCCAAGGGGGTAGGATTCAAGATTCAAGATCCCAAAAAAACTTCTTGAACCCGAAGGCCTTCAGCCTTGAATTTTGAATCTTGATAAGCCTTGAATCTTGAATCCAAGAGGTTGGATTGAAGAAGTTTTTTCTGAGCCTTGAATCTTGAACCTTGAATCCAAACAGGTGGGGTTGAAGAAGTTTTTTCTGAGCCTTGAGTCTTGAATCTTGAATCTTCAATCCAAACAGGTGGGGTTGAAGAAGTTTTTTCTGAGCCTTGAATCCTGAATCTTGAACCCAAAGAGGTTGGATTGAAGAAGTTTTTTCTGAGCCTTGAATCTTGAAGCTTGAATCCAGATACTTAGAAAAATTAGCCACCAGAAATTGCAATTTCTTGCAATTTATTTCAAATGATCGGCCTGTTTGCCAAGGACATTCCTCGAAAAAACTTGCTTATCCTGTAAAAGAGAATTCTAAAGCCCATTGTTTTGTCTTTGCTTTCCAAGCAAATCAATCAACTTTGGCAAAAAAATAACGAAAAACATAAACAATGCAAGAAAGGCAATTAGATTCACCAGAATAAAAGTAAAATAAATTGAAAAAGAACCTTCTGCAATCTTAAAGACTATATATTTTATTTAGCAAAAAAGAAGAAAAATAATCAATAATAGGTCAAAATATATGAACTCATCCCATAGCAATACCTCTTTATCTGCAGATCAACCAAAACCTTCCCAACAAAATGTATTAGAAAGGGTTGCAGATAGATCGGCAAAGAACACTTTCTTTTAAAAACACATGGTTGCAATTGTTTTTTAAAAAAAAAATGTAAAATGGATTATAAAAACTCCGAAATGCAATCACAGTTCACATCACAAAGTGGTAGAATATTATCATTAAAAAATACAAACAAATCATTTTGAAAAAAATAAAATAATAAATTGGTTAACTTAAAACTAGATCCTCAGAACATACAGCTGAAAGAGCCAATAAAAATATAGGATTTTTCAAAGTAAAAATACATATTCAGCCAATGCTAGAAACTCCTTGAACACCTATAAACATACCACAAACTAAAAAACGTAAGACAATTTATAATATGATGACAGATATACTAAAAACTGTTTTTTACTTATCAATTTTGTTATCATCAAAATCATTTTTGTTTAGCAAGTAACATATCTAACCCAAGCACTCCTGGATTTAAAGCAATTAAATTACAAGATCATCTGCATTGTACAGATTTTTAAAAAATGAATTATTAGCCAAAACATATAAATTCTTCTACAAAAAAAAGATTGTAGATGCTGAAGAAACAACTAATGAACATACCGTAGATTCACAAGAACAAATATGACAACCAACATCAAATGAGAATATGGCTGATTATTGTCAATTACTTTGCAAAGCTTGATGGAATTTTATGAAATTGTAGGTAGGAGGATGAAAAAGGTAGTTGCATTATAAAACCAATATTTCTAAAACATATAACTGGAGATCAGTCTTATACTGTACTTTTGAAAATACACCTTATTGTGTAAATAAAAATGTAAAATCTCAAGGTGCACTAACTATATCATCTAATTTTGCACAAAACTCAGCTTTGGCAGAAGCTAAAACCTTTCAAGTTGCTATGAAAAAGTTAGTAAATATGAATTCCACCAGTAGTCATTAACAAAAAACTACCTTACAAAACGTGGTATTCATCAAAAAAAATCAAGTTAATATGCTATACCCAGCAAAAACAGATAACACAATTTCAATCCCTTTATTCCCCTAATCATTTTGCTGCAAATCCTATATGTTATGTAAAAATACCAGATGTTGTAGAAGATATTGAAAAAGCAGACTTGCAAGAATCAAATCATAGATATAAAATTCGTGCTGATATATATAAAATGTCTGAAAACAAAAAACATGGTATAAATTTAATGAAATAAATATGTCCAATGTAGATGTTACAGCGCTATGCTGCAACTACATTTGTGGGCAGGATGTGTCCAGACGCATGCGCCCAAGATACTTTCCTGATGCAGTGCTACAATAGGTGAGAAGATAGGAAGGAAGACAAGGCATTCAAAGACATATCTAATACACAAAATGTAGGTCTTGGGGCGGGTAGCATATTTATATATATATATATGTGATATATGGATTATTAAATTTGGCTATGCGTTAATTTTTTTGTGTAACGAGCTTTCGCCCGAATCAAAAATGGAACTGCCAAACAAAAAGAAACCCAAACAACCACAAGACACTTCTCCCTTTCAAACGCGGCCATGTCTAGTAGGGAATGGGGGAATGACCTATCGTGGCTATTCACAACTATATTAGCAGTCATCCCATTCCCCCCAGCCATTCCCTACTAAGCCCAAGTAAGAAAATCCAGGAACATCATTTTCAGAAAAAAAACCGATCAGGAGAAAACACCAGATTTTTTTCCTTTGTTTTTTTTCGCAATGAAAAACCTCCAAATGATCAGCCCACCAGCCCACCAAGGAAGGCGATTCCAGCCACGGTACGTCGAGACCAACCCATGGATTTGCCCGATGGAGAGCTGGGAGAAGCAGGATCCCTGGCGTTGCTCAAGGACATGTTGAGCTGCTCGGCCGGAGTCCGGGTGAAGAAGGGCATGTGCACCGGCCGAGTGGATTTTGAAGTGGGGAAAATCCATGGAAATTCAAGGATGCCCATAGTTGTTCTGTTTTTTGCTGGTTCAGTTCAACTGCATTTTTGGGCGGATGGAGTTCAACACATTATAGGTTGTGGGACTGTTGCGCATAGAAATGACATGAAATGGGCGAAGAGACTCTTCTCCTTTGGTTTTGATGGAAAGAACGGTGGATTTGGGTCCGGATGGGTCCGGTATTCTGGCTGTTTGGTCAGCTCTGGGATTGAAAATTGTGATGAATGAGAGGCAAGAACGTCGTGGCAAAGAATTTCATCGGAATGGGAAACTTGGCCCAAATATGCTCAAATGAGATGAATGCTGAATGGTGTCTCTCTGCCCGGATTTTCAATGCTTCCAACTTTGATGCGCAGGAGGAATTTGATTGCATTAGATTGCCTTGTCAATGATTTGTGTAAAAGCGTAACGTTGGTGTGTCTGAAAAAGGAGCCCCCAGAATTCACAGCGGTTTAATATGGTTTAGTGGAAATGAGCCAGTGGATTCAATTTTGGGGTTCCCCCGCGATTGTCAGGCAAAGCCATGATGGTTTCCATGACTCCCTGCACAGCTTGCACAGGCTACCACGGTTCACACGTGCCCGGTCCCATCTTGCGAAATTTGTTGGAAAATCCAGGCCAGGTCAGTTCTGCGCCAGCAGGAGGTTCTGCTAAGATGGAATATGGTTCCAAGTTGCAAATCGAAGTAGGCTATAGAGACTACCCATCCTGCCATTACCTTGAAGGACTTCTGGAAGTCCACATGCTGATGCTTTTGTCGGAATTCCATCAAATCTACCCATCAGCGTGTAGGATTAACATGGATTAATCATAAGAAAACATGTCCCAGAAATCAGAGAACATTGACTAGTAATTTTGGGACACGGGGTTGGTTATTCTTGCGATGGGATTCGATGGGAAGTGGCTTGGAAAAGTCATCTGCGGCAGAAATTTGTTGCAGGTTGGTACACCGCATACACCCCGTACCAGGCAGAGATCTCTCAGGGGCGTGTCCTGGCTGTTTTGGGGGCTTGGAGCGGATCCCGCCAGGTCAATTTCTCCAATGATTTTTCTTGTCCTAAGGACTCGAGTCCTTGGTGATGCTTGGCAACACCCCCAAGAAACGTCTAAATCAGATCACACACACAGAATCCAAACAACCAAATAAAACAAAGAGGGACATCCTAAACAACAATCCAAAGAACCAAAAACAACTTCAGTTTCACTATGTTAAACTTCATGAAACTTCGTTATCCATACCTCCATTTCCAGCAGATCTTCCCCACTTCCAGACCTTGGAACTATCAGAAACTATCAGAAACTAATTATCAGGAACTATCAGGAACTATCAGAAATTATCCTCCAGATCCCTCCATTTCAGGAACTATCAGACCTTGGTCTGCGAGCTCACTGGGATGGAAGTGGCCAACGCCTCGCTGCTGGACGAGGGCACCGCAGCCGCCGAGGCCATGGCCATGATCGCCCGCGCCGTGAACTCGAAGGCGGGCCGGCCATGGCCATGGCCATGGCGTTCCCTTAAACAATGGGGGATACCCTCTGGTAAACATACAAAAACTATGGAAAATCACCATTTATAGTGATTTTTCCCATTGAAAATGGTGATTTTCCATAGCTAACTATGGAAAATCACAATTTTCAATGGGAAAATCCACTATTTCTATGGTCATTTTCCATATAGTTATGTTAAATTACCAGAGGGTAATACTCTCAAATCACGGAAGGGAGTGAGTTTTTAGGATTATGTGCCGCCCAAACTGGACTTCAGGGAACTTAGGTAGGTTGTTTCTGAGTCACGGAAATGTTCGTGGATTTTTATGGAATCTGGGATATGCAAGATGCCTCGGATTTTCTGACATCTTGATTTTTCTTGTAGATGAGAACAGGTATGGCGAGATTTGGAGCGACCTGCATATTCACCTGGGTGGGCGATCTCGCCATAGATGATTTGTTTTTGAATGGGAAATCATTCCAAAATGGGGAGTGTTTCAGGGGAAATATCATGGGACAAGTTGCTACTACACCACCGGGTAATCAGACATTGCAATGGAAAAATATGGATGATTGTTCCAATGAGCACCATTTATAAGGGCTTGGCCATTGCCATGTTTGATTATCGCAGGGTATACATACATATCATATGTATTCATATGTCTGTATAATATGTAATATACTTAGTATATGCATGTATACATTTATATGGCTTGGATCAACCAGGATTTTTTGTCAGGTCCTGGGCACCCTTAAAATATGCAGTGGGGCGGTGGATCCGGATCCGGTGGATCTAGGCCAAGAATCAGTTCTTCATCAGCGACAGCGTGCATCCCCAGTCCATTGATTGTATCAAGACCAGGGCCGAGTACTTCGGCATGGAGTTGGCCTCCTGGCTTTGATCTGAGGATGGCTAAGACTGATGGGCACCTATCGCTGCATGGGGGAATAAAATGGAATAAACATATCATTGGCCAGCTATTTTAGGGTACCTGGCGTACCAGCTTTTGACCCTAACCATCTGTTTTTTTTGGTACCCTTATACGTTTTTCCAAGATCCATTTGAGAATTTCGTGTGACATGGCGACTCACAGATGTGATTTTTGCTTAGTGTTTTGAGTTTTTATTGAATGAACATGAAGGAAATAATACGAACATCTGCATATGGCGTCCCAAGCTCCATCCGAGGTCATTGGCGACCACACCACCACTGACTTTGCCTCGATGGACAAACTCTGTGGTGCCTTAGTGCAGTACCCAGACACCCGGGGCCGCTTCAACAAGTTCGAGGGCATCGCCGATGCCTTGCACAAGACACTTGGTGAAACCGAAGATTTGTTGGTAGAATATGGTAGAATGGTCTTAGGATTCAGGATGATTCATATGGAGTTTTGGGGGGATTCTGGTAGGTGCAAATTGTGTCCACACTACATGTGTATAAGCATTTTGGTGGGTGGCATCAAAGTTTTGAAATGATTTTCACCGCAGGTAATTCTTAAAATCCCGGCCGCTGATTCCAGACCCTCATAATTCTCAAATTACATCAAATTGCTGCACTTCAATGATGATTCAAATGCATACATCTCAAATGTTGGTTTATCATTAGATACTTCCATTTGGGATATTAAAAAAATATCTCCAAATGGTTGATTATTATGTATGGCATTGGGTTAGATGTAGTTACGTTACATTGTGATGCAGACCCGCACTGTTTCATAATGGCCAGGAAAGAGCACCCTCCATACCATGTATCCGAGCAGCGTCCAACAGATGAGTGATTCATGGTCATACTATTCCACATATTGAGACTTAGAGTATCATCATACATGAGCTGGGAATCCCGTTTTTATGAACACTGCTGACCTGGTTTCATCAACATTACTTAGACCCTCCAAGTACCCTTATAAAATGGATCAAAGTTGCGTTTTGCCCTATAATGTTAATACTTTTGCAGGTCTAGGTACCTATCCCATCCTATCCCCTTACCTTTGCATTCCTAATTTCGGGACGACCTTTGCATCCCGCCAGGAACAAAGCCTATTTCATCGTCGCGGCGGACCCTCTGAGTTTGGTGCTGGCCAAGCCTCCCAGCGAAATCGGCGCCGACGTCGTGGTGGGCTCCATGCAACGCTTCGGCGTTCCCATGTGGCCCCCCAGCGGCAGGAGTCAGTCGGAGTCAATGGGGATGGCGGGGTCAGAGGGTGACATCCCATATCCACAGGAAATGCCATGCCATGAAATCACCAGGAAATGCCATGGAGTGCCATGAAATCCCCAGTAGATGCCATGAAATGCCATAAATGCCTTGAAATGCCATGAAATGGTTGGTTTCTCATCCTCCGGATGCGCCAACTTATTTTTTGCAGGGTTGGTTTATCAATATTCCAAAGGGCTCAACCAAGAGGGGAAACCTTGGTGACTTCTTACACGTGGCTTCGTGAGGTTCGGTGGTCCTTCTGCTGCCTACCTGGCCACTTCCAAGAAGCAGGCGCGCTGCAGGTTGAACATGGCACCAAGCAGCAGAAAGAACGTGTGATTTTCAGGGGTCTAATTTAGTCTAATGGCTACACGAATAAACATCCATGAACCCATTAATTATAGTTAACTACTGTTAACTAAAGGTATCTCGCCCAAAGATCACTGGGGCCTCATTGGGACTCCCCAACCCCAGGTGCGCCGCATGCCTGGGCGCTTGATTGGGGAATCCTTGGATCGCCTGGGAAAGCCCGCGTATCGCCTGACGTTGCAGACGCGGGAGCAGCACATCCGACGCCCGGCCCGTCCAGCATGGTCCAGCCGTAGCTTCGCATTTGGATCGGGACCGATATTTATGAACAATGATGAAAAATGGTGATGTTCCGTAGCAAACTCTGAAGAACTACCAGAGGGTACAGTTTGAAAGTGATCTCACGTTGATTCATCGAAATACCCATTGGATCAAGGGAACAATTTAGCGGAAAACACCATTATTCATGGCAAAACAAGAGGCTTTCCAGTGGATCTTCCCTTCCCATTCCATGCAGTCCATCATCAATGGTCAACGTAAGTTGTTTCTTGCTTGAAAGATTGGTAGTCCTGCCTGTTCATGACTGAATGCCCCTATGGTGTCCTATGGTGGCTATTTTCTTGAGTAGGAATATATTTTAGAGTTCCAGCAGTCAGATTTCCCATGTAAGTTTCAGAAATTGCCCAGCATGTTGTTATATAAACGTGCCACATATATAATATACATCCCGCATACCACATTATATCCTCATATCCCTGTGCAAATTACGCCCACATCACCAGCTGAGGATTGGATAAGGCTACTAGCAACGTGTGCACCGCACAGGTCCTGCTGGCCAATATGGCCGGCATGCCGCTGGGACTTCCAAGTAGTGATTTTGATGGATGCTTATGGGATACAAATATTCAGCCTCATGATGCCCCACAAGGTGGTGCCCCATAGTTAGCTAAGTTGGCTTATAACTCCCATAAATAGTTTATGGAAGATATAACTATAGTTAATGGGGGTCATAAACCAACTTATAACTGGGGGGCACCATCCTGCATGAATCAATGTTTTTTTTCTTGTGTGTGTGTGCGTGGCTTTCCCTCAAAGAATGGAATAACGTGGAGATTTAACGATCCAACTCAGGAGAAGTTTGTACAACGGCTTGAAACTATTTACTGATTTTTGGATTTGTCTGGTGTATCCTCCAAACTTGCCATTTGGAGAGACATATATAATTAATAAGAATCCGTTGCAAGTGGTTGCTCCCCATTTTCAGACAAACCTAAATATGGCTACCCTGCCTCGTTGCTAGCCCGGGTGTAAACGCCATGCTTTGCTGTTAGAATCGCCTCAACCTGCCCCCATTTACAACCTGACCTACTGTGACGTCATTATAGCCTCAACTGATCATTCTTCCATGAAGCAACATCTATCAACCAACCATTAGCCATGATTAACCATTATTAACCATCAACACACCATTAACCATGGCTATTGTGAACTAACCATCTTGCATCCATTAATAGATAGTGTTAACTAACCAATTTAACTAACCAATATTTACCATCATTTATCACTATCAGCCAGTTATTAACCATCATTAATCATGCTTAACCATCATTTTATCATCCCCCCCCTTTAACCCTGGAATATTTGGGGGGGGGGGTAAGGCAAGAAATTTCTGAGAAATATTTCACCTGACCACATGAAATATACCCCCCCCCCACATGTTTTTTGGGCTTCCAAAAGATGTGGGGGGGGTCCTCCGGATGCAACATTTTTAGCCCAGAGATGGTATGGCACACCCTTTCATAACGTACATACATACATTCATATTTTCATACATTCATATATAGAGAGAGATATATATATATATATATTATATATACACATAATTACACATAGAAAAATGCAACGGTGAAATTTTTGAGGGGGGGTAGTTGCAAAACCATGGTATTTTACAGTTCTAGCAGGGTCCCCCCCTAAAAAAATCCATTGCCAATGCTCGAGGAGCCCCTTTATGTTTCCTACCCCGAAATACAAGGGTGAAATTTTTGAGGGGGGGTAGTTGCAAAACCATGGTATTTTACAGTTCTAGCAGGGTCCCCCCCTAAAAAAATCACCTTTTTAGTCCTTACGCGGGTAGGGCCGACGCGCAAGCCATACAACTAGGTAAATGGATGTAAATGGTAACTGCCAGTTTCCAAGAAAATAAATAAGAGAGTGAACTTGCCAAACATGTTTCAGAGCTTGACGTTCAGCCTTGAATTCAACCAGGCCCTGGAGAGACCATTATAAACCAGAAATTTTTAGCTGAAATATTTCTAGGTCTGTGGGGGGGGGTAACCTCCCCCGAAAGTGAAATATTTCAGTTTTCAACCCCCCCCACCCCCCCCCCTAAAGGGGGGGGATATTTTATCACTATCAACACCTATCAACCAGTGGCCATTATTAATCATTAACCATCAACTAACCATCAACTAACCATCAACTAACCATCAACTAACCATTGTCAACTAACCATGCCATCCCGTCTCCAAGGTACGCGGTCTACCATCGCAAGGACGGCCTGCAGAAGATCGCCCAGCGCGTGCACGGCCTGGCGCAGCTCTTCGCTTCTGAGGCGCAGAAGGCCGGGCTCTGCGTGAGCTCCACGGCCGCCTTCTTCGACACCGCCGGGGGGCCCGGCAAAGGACGGAGGGGGCGGTTAAGGATGGTTAAGGAGGCTGGGGTAATGATTTAAAGATATGGGAATCAATGGGAATTTGGATGAAATTGGAAAATGATTGAAGAACTGACTATAGTAACCATAGGGATTAGGGATTGGATCTTGAATTTTGGGGTCAGTTTAGATGATTTTACGACTGGATATGGGCAGATGGAGGTCCTCTACGCAGCCCCGCGCCCCAAGGTCACTATCGAGACTCCTAAGGCCAAGGCTGTTGCACAGGCTGCCAGCGCTGGGGTGGTTTCAGGAGATGGCTATGGCGGCTATGGATTGATTTAATCCAAATACAGCAGGGGCCTGTAGGGGTTACTTGGCTTGCATGACATTCTTTTCTTTAGAATAAAACATGATACATTCCGTTTAGTATCATCTAGTACTCGTACCATCTAATGTCATCTAATCTCATTTTAATGCCATCGATATAATATCATCTAATACAATCGAGTATCATCTAGTATCATCCATGTATCCATGTATCCATGTATCCATGTATCCATGTATCCATGTATCCATGTATCCATGTATCTATGTATCCATGTATCCATGTATCCATGTATCCATGTATCCATGTATCCATGTATCCATGTATCTATGTATCCATGTATCCATGTATCCATGTAACCATCCATCCATCCATCCATCCATCCATCCATCCATCCATCGTATGCATCTACAATTATAGTGATTTACAATGATTTACAATGATTTACACCTCATTCGTCCTTCTTCCATATTTGGCTTCGCCATAGCTATCCAACTCCCCATGCTTTTTCCAGGCATTGGAACAGCAGAAGATGAACGTCCGCGTCTTGGACGACAAAACCTTGGCGGCCTCCTTCGATGAGACGCACTTGGAGGTGGGTTACAGCTGGATGATCACCGGTTGTGCAATGGTTATATGGGGTTTTCCATAAATATGGGAGGGAAAATAGCTCGATGGTTTATAATGAAAAAATATGGAACATCCTATGGATGATTTGGGGGTACCCCCATTTTAGGAAACTTCCGTAATTAACATGTTAGTTTACAGCCGGGTAACCAGTGCCTTTCCGGGGGGCACCTCGCAGCCAGGGCGACATCAAGTCTCTGGTGGGCGCTCTGAAAGCCGCGGGCGCGGGAAGCACCGCCTCCAATTTGGCCATCACCGTGGACGGCAAACTGCCCGCGGACTTCTCCAGGCGCGGTGATTTCAGCTGGAAAATCCTCCAAAAATCATCAGAATCATCCATCTGAAAGTTGGGATCAAATCCCATATAAATCTTCCAAACATCCCATATGTTCAATGATTTTCTCAAAGAAAGTTGGGATGTTTTGATAATTATTGGTCGTAATATTGAATTCACACTAGTAACTAGTAGGAATTGGACTATATATTGGCTCTATCCCCTAATAACTGTGTATATATAGTGTATATACGTTATTATATATAATGCATTTGCTAGTCCACGGCCAATCAAACTGCTGTAGCCGCGTGCCATATTGTGGTTGATGATGATGCCTTACGACTCTTGGAGTCTTGTTTGGGTTTTCAATGCTTTTGTTGAACATATTTTTTGCAGATATTTATTTGGTTTTCGTGATTGAAATCGAGGTTTTGTATTCTTCACCAGTGTGTGATGAGAAGTTTGTTTGGTCGGCGATTTGCAGGACTGGAGCCTTCTTGGAGCAGAAGATCTTCAATTCCATCTCCTCGGATGCTTGGCGCATTTGCAAATTTGGGATATTTGGGGTTTACCCTCTCGTATTTAACATAGCTATTGAAAATGGCCATTTATAGTTTAGCAATTAAGAATGGTGATTTTCCACAGCTATATTAGTTTACCAGAGGGTACTGGGGGCAAAGTAGCATGGTTTCTGCGGTATCCTTAGCGCCGCAACGTATTCTTTAGGGAAGAGTCGAGCCGCTCGAGCCTTTTCGATCATTGGAATAGTTGACGATTGGGACATAGATCTTATCACTTCAGGCAGCACCTATATGACAAAAAAAATATGGTATTTACTAGGTATTTATGATTGCTACCATTATTATTACAGTATTACATACATTACCATACATTGTACATACGATATATTCGTGTCCAAGTTGACAAAGTACTCCAGACACTTCTTAGTTAAATCTGCTCCAAGTTTTATGGCTGGCAGGAGACAGAGCTGATGCGATACATGCACACCCTGCAGAAGAAACTTGGCGCGGATGGGATCCGGTTGACATTTTTTCCACTGGCTACCTATCACATCTTGTCTTGTCCAACCCCCTCAGTTCACCAAATTTCACACACTTTCCCTAATCACCAGCCCCTTTTGATCGGTCCCAATCCTTCCCAACCCTTCCCAGCTTTGCGTCGTCCAGGAAGGATTTGGCGCTGGACACCTCGATGATTTCGCTGGGCTCGTGCACCATGAAGTTGAACTCCGTGTCGTCCCTGGCACCCTGCAGCTGGCCCGAGGTGGTTCCTATGATGAAGGGATGCTGTGGTGGATGGCGATCAGACACTATATGAATGAGTAGCAGGAATAAAACCTGGTTGGTGGTTTGGAACATGAATTTTATGGCTTTCCATATGTTGGGAATGTCATCATCCCAACTGACGAAGTCATTTTTTTTCAGAGGGGTTGAAACCACCAACCAGAAACTATGAGGTGGGATATCTACGGGTCATGTTTAAGAGTTTAAGGTATCAGTTGTTGAGACCTGTGGAGACTTGTTTGGTAAGATGTCTAGACATATGTTTTTTTGCCAGCTCTTTGGGTTCCTAGAGATCAGCTGTTGCACTTTGAATCACTAGTGGCCTTGCAAAGGGAAAACAATGGAAATCTTATGATTTTTCCAGGTTGCAAATCATCTAAATCTGTGAGATGTTCAACATCTTTCAAGATTTACCAGCCCCAAACTGACTTTTCCCATGCATGTCTTCATTTCCGCAGCGGAAACCAAGGCTCACATGCACCCCTTTGCTCCTGCGAGTCAGACCCAGGGCTACCGCGACATGTTGGAGTCCTTGGAGTGCCCTGGCTGCGCGCAAGCGATATCTTGCGATGTGGAGGTGAAACATGGTGGCCCCACAATGGCGATATGGGAATGGGTCAAGACCTATGAAATTGCCATGGTTTTGGATAATCAACATCCATTCACCAGCTATTATTAGGGTGCACCGGGTGCCAGAGTTTTGACTCATAGCTCTATATCCAAAGATCAGCAATGCATTGTTTCAAACTCTACTTTTTGGGGGGAAGCCTGGGTGGCGAATTCAGCTGCCAGGCAGTATTTGATCACCGTCACCGGCTTTGATGCTTGCTCCCTGCAGCCAACCAGTGGCGCCAGCGGCGAGTACGCGGGACTGCTGGTCATCAAGAAGTATTTGGAAGACCAGGGGCAAGGCGTCACGTCACGTCGTGACAGGTCTCCAATGAAACATGGTTGGTTTATGTTGGTTTATTCTGCACAAGAAAAGGGGTAAACCCGATAGTTACCAACCACCCCCAAAGGTTGGTTTATTATTGGGTTTGCCACATTACATGCAGTCAAGTTAAGCCAAGTTCAAAGATATGCTGCCCAAATACCATCAAATGTATCACTCTCAATTCCATGTTTGTTCTGCAAAACCATCCATGTGGGTACAGACATTGCATCAAAGTCATCGCGACGTCACTAGAAATGATGGTTAGTACAGTAGGATAATAGGCAATTGTCTCCAAATGGCCCAGGACTTCAGCTTGGTGGCCCCTTCCTAATTAGATGCATTGCCTCATAATGTCATTATCAAATTTGATCAAGTTGTTGTTTTGAAAAAAGTGATGTTATAAAGTTGTTATACCCACATACATTTAAGATCATTTAAATATACCAATTAACCTTGGACAGATGCTTCACATATTATGGTATTAGCAAGATCGATGAAACATCCATCGGATGTTCATGTGATACTTCATATATGGGGGGTTCTTAAGATGGACGATCCCCAGTCACCATGGGTTTCAATACTAAAATCAACAAATGACTTGGATTATTTGGAGTAGCCCCATGACTTGGGAAACCTCCATATTGATCTTGATTATATATATATATACGTTTAAATTTACATTTACAACCATTTACACCATTAAATTACAACAACTATATTATATATATATCCTTTTGTGTATCTCCATTGTTACGTTACAATGTGCATATCGGTACTTAAGTAAAAACGTAATTAATGGATTTAACTATGATCATCCAAATAGTCAATGGTGTGGTTTAAGGGAAAACATACAGGAAAACCAGTCCATTGATCATCCCATAGTCCAACAGCCAGCGCTCAGCCCTCGTTTCAGGCCACCGCGATGTGTGCATCATCCCCCGCTCAGCCCATGGCACGAACCCCGCTAGCGCCGCCATGTGCGGCATGGAGATCAAGTGGATCGAAGATTCACGAGGCCAGGGGAGTGGATTTAATGGTGATTTAATGGCATTTATAGGGGATTTATAGGGGATTTATAGGGGATAAACCACATGAATTTTTATGAGAGGAGTGGATCAGTGAAAAAATGATCTTATATGATGAATATTTGAGTGAAAAAATGAGATGAATACTGTAATACTTATATTCATGTGGATAAATGATTATTTTTTGTTTTTAACCCAGTGAGATACCATTTGGTTATTTGTAACAGTTTGCCATGGAAAGATCCACCGTTTTAATAGGTAAACCATCTATTTCTATGGGCCATGTTCCATGGCTATTTTAAAGAACCAGATGGTAAACCACATGAATACTTGAGTGAAAAATCATTTTATATAATGTTATATATATATATATATTCCCCATAAAAAACTTTAGATAACCATAAGTAAGCTAGTTATGTCAACTTCGCGAACTTTGGGGCACCACCTTGCTAAGGAAGACTTTGAGTTTTTTTGTCCATCCTTTTTGCGATCTGGGAAGATGGATGAGTGTTGATAAACAATGAGTAACAACTATAGACAATAGCAAATAAACAATGATCAGCATGCCACTTTAGTCCATTTGCCAAGATATTTACAAGCCCTCGCGCAGTTTGAGTTGGGAATTTCATGACGGGGCTTGAAGATTGGCTCTCCTCACAGGCATGGATCTGGCAGAGTTCAAGGCCCTTTGTGAAGAGCACAAGGCCGGTGGTTCGGGTAATTAATGGGCAAGTTGGGGCCAGAAAATGAAACTGGTATAAATTGGTGCATTATTTGGGGAAGAGAATCTATAGAGGAAGCAGTTAGCCATTGGGGGAGAAAAAACAGAGACTTACGTCCTTGATGCTAGCAGCACTTTCCATGTTTGGTCCTCGTAGCTTACTCGAGGATGTAGAATTATAGCAATTGGCCCAGATGATCTGAGCAGATATTGCTGCAGTGGCAGGGTCTTAGGCTTTGCCCACACGTAGCCTCTGTGTTGGAAGCATGGTATCGGCACTGCTGAAATTGGTGGAGTCGCATCCTCTTCAGGATTATGTGAAGACCTTCTGTGGGGAAGCTGGTGTTGACATAGAAAATCAAGCAAACCGATCAAGTTCATAGACTGTTCATAGGAAGATGTCGAAAACGAGCATGACGTCATGCTCCCTGAACATGACTCAGCCTGACCACTCCCCATTTTTTCCAATGTTTTTTTCCCAACGTTTTTCAAAAAAAACACCGTCAGTCGCAGGACCGCCTGGCCTGCTTGATGGTGACCTATCCCTCCACCCGAGCCTTCTTCGAGGACAACATCCAAGAGCATCTCGGCGTCCATAGCACGGCACGTTGGCTTTTCACTGCGGACGTCAATGGAAGTTGATCCTTCTAAATATGTTATGGTTTTCAATATATATATATATATATTGTCTATTAATTTACTGTACATAAATGGATTATATTAATATTTATTGTTTTGTTAATGTAATAAATGAAGTGAGCTATTACTGTTTGCATTTCCATTTTTATTCGTAGTAGTAGTAGCAGAAGTGAATAGGTTTTGGAGCCAAGCCTCCATTTTGTTTTAGAATTTCTAGGGTAGATTTTTTTTGTTCCCCGGTTCGTCTCCCAAACAGGCCCCAGACTTGTCCAACATTCAATCGCCTTGTCGTTAGATCATGTTGTTTCATGCAGACTATATGAGAATCAAATCCAGGAGTGGCCAGTGTAACCCCCAACCCCTTCCACAGTTTCTATGTTGTGGGCGGTGTTCGCGCAGCTGGGCTCTGGGGGGAATAGCATGAAATAGCGGTGTTGAATCCATTCCCAATGGGTCAGGGCATCAAAATCACTGGGATTGCCAGTCCGAATTCTGACTCCCCAGAACACAACCCGATTCCTCTAAAGATGTGGAGTTGACCCATGTTTACCCAGCATTTCTAGATCATTTTCCCAAAACCATGAGCTTTTCCACATGGGCTTTCCATGCCAACCTCAGGACCTGCGAGATCGTGCACCAGTACGGAGGTCAAGTTTACATGGACGGTGCCAACATGAACGCCCAACTGGGGCTCACCTCTCCGGGCATCATTGGGGCGGATGTGTGCCACCTCAACCTGCACAAGACCTTTAGCAACTTGGAGGTAACTTCATGGTGACATAATGGCGATGAATTGGTGACTTAACAGTGATATAACGGTGATCAATGGAGATTTTGGTGGTTTTCTTAAAATGGGGGATCCCCAAAGCCTTAGGTTTCAATACTAAAATGGTCTATATAATATTAAATGATTCGGGGGTACCCCAATTTTAGGACGCATCCGTATTGGACCTTGGGTTCGTATTTGGGTATTTGGGTGGGTCATCAAAAACGTACTATTGGGATGATAGGAACTGAATACCCACACAAGACCTCTAGTGACTCTAGTAACTTGCAGAACTTGGTGATGTCAGTCACCAAACTGATGTGAACCCCGGATGAATAAAGCCCCAATTTATAAACTAAAGGGGGCTTCCCAAAATAAAAAATAGTTCCCTTTATAGATGGTACCCCCCAATTGGTCAACTAGGGGTTTATTAATCCGGGGTTGATCTTTTTCAATACCATCCATATCGGCTCCAACTCATGAATAGGTCCACTTACTAAACTAGGGTCTTGACGAACAAATTCATATTGCATATCTTGCTTTCTCTGAAAGGGGAGCTGGTTGGAGCCCAATGAAGCCCAACATCAAATGTTATAGAACCAGAGATGTAATGCACTTTGCAACTTGGCTTGAGGAAACTGGCTGGGGTGTGCACACATGGTCTGATGCTATTTGTGGTAATGTTTTTGTTGGGGTAGGCTCCTTTGATTCTTTGTCAGAGGCGCAACTCCGGCAAAGTTTGCCGACTAGCCATGGTGATTAATAATGTCAAAGGGGGTCAGCCATGACAAATGCTTGGGTACATTCACTTCCCAAATTACAACAGTAGGGGCCATTAAAGGGGCCATTCAAATGTCAACAGAGTATGCAAAAAAGGCCAAGTTGGGCGCCGGCCCTTGGATTCCGCATGGCGAAGTGAGGCATCCCCCATGGTGGAGGCGGCCCTGGCCTGGGTCCCATTTGTGTGCCTTGGGTGAAATTCCTGCTGGGCAAAGCTACCTGCCATGACTGGGGATGGTTTTTCTTTCATCAAAATGCTGATGACCTAGGGGATGGTAAAAAACTGCATAAAAACCACATGAATACCACCTGAATGAATGATACCCGATAGTGATAGTGTAGTTCTACCAGCTTCGCTTCAAAACCCATTGATATGGTTCAATCCGCACCAGAAAATTAGCATGTATCATTCATGGCTGGGGTCAAACAACCCCCCTGATCCAATGAAATTCGCAAAAAAAGACGGCAGACGGTGATGAAGATGTTCATGTCTCGGTATGGAAGTCTAATGAGCTCTTTTTGTCGGTAAGTATCGATTTTTTTAAAATAAAAGTAACAATATACAGACATGCAATTACTCGTACATAATCATATATGTATGTATATGATTATCTATGTACGTGTTCTGATCTGGTTGAATAAATATGCCCTATCCCATGCAAGGCGTCCCATAGCCCAGATGCTCCTCCACTATATCCACTTTACCTACGTCACCAATTATGGGGAGATCCCAGGTAAAGCCGATTTCTAGATGGCAAAATGATGTATGTAAAGCCATATGATGTTGATGTTAATTAGGTTGGCTTTCCCGACAGGGATCCCAGGGAATTCCCGATCTTCAAGCATTTTTACAAGCTTCTGACATTGCTTCCGGAAACGTAGCATTTTTGATATTTCGACATTTGTGACCATATGTCATATACTGTGTATATATATATGATATTTTATAATACACGGATAAAAATAGCTATTAGTATTCAGAATTCAGTAGCTACTTTGAATTACAACCCCAGTGGCATCTATCACAAATTAAGAATACCCAGAGAAAAACAATATAGAATTACCTACAAGGTAGTGCCCCGCAGTTGTATATAAGTTGGTTTGCAACCCCCATTAACTCTAGATTTATCTATCATAAACCCTATAGCTACTAGTTATTATCCCCATGAACTCCAGATTTATCTACCATAAACCCTAGCTAACGAACTGGGAAACACCTTACAATGATCCTTGTCATGAGTCTCGCCTACAGCTGAGGGACGCTTTGGATATCATGAGATGTCAGGTTTCAGAGGTGTGCAAGTGCCAACTGGAAACTACACTGTGGGGCCCCCGTTTACGATAGCTAAGTTGGTGAACATAACTCCAATAACTATGGTTTATGATGCGCAAATAACTATAGTTATTGGGGTTATAAGCCAATTTATATCTAAAAAGCCTACATTGTAGAGATTTCACCATTCCAAGACTAATATGATATAGAACTACCTACTATTTGTAATTAAAGTTGATAATATCCGAACATTAAGATGATTTATGATGATTTAAACTTGTTTGAACACATGGGATCATGGTTTACCACTGATAATATTTGTCATTGTAAGAGTATTATTGTTTCATTCCAACTAATAGATCTATTCTTGATTGTGGGATTGTGGGATCTTCTATTGGAATTTATAATGATTACTGTTGCGTCTGATAATCGTAGTGAACTGAATCTTGGCCTCCAGTTGTGATTACAGTTATAGTTTATGAATGTTCTTTTTTTTGCCTTAGGTTAACAATTGCATCAAATAACTACTATTGGGTCTATTGGGATAGTATAGCATACAGCGTTAAACACACACATATATATATATATAGCTATTTAGTAATCTACATGTTCTTCTATTAAGAATGATACTGACTACAAATAGATGGTGAAGAAGCCCTTTTTTGGGGCCCAGGGCGCTTTTTTTCTTCACCTAGGGGCGCGCCCTAGGTGAAGAAGCACTTGGCCAAGCACTTGCCCAGCCACGTGGTGGTGGAGCCTTCCAGCAAGGGCGCTGACCCCTGCGGCACCGTCTCGGCTGCGCCCTGGGGGCAGGTGCCTTGCCGGCTGGTGCCGGTGCCGACGGCTGGGGATGGTGGTATAAAGATGCAAACACATTCTGAACACGTTCAGATTTTATTTCTATATATATATGCACACTACAACTTAGGATTGTTTTTTTTAACCACTTTTTATAGCTTAATTGAATTATAACTCTTGGATTTTGGAAAGTGATGTGCCTCAGTTGATCATCACTATAGTTCTCTTAGATGAATGCCATCCAGGCGGGAATCGCCGCGATTCCCTGGATGTTCTGCACCATGTTGGGCAAGCAGGGCGTGCTCGACAGCGCCAGGTGCTGTTGGGATGGAAGTGGAGGCACTGGGGGAAGTAATTAAGCACTACAAGTAGGGGGCGTTATAGATTTAGATATAGGCTGATAGAATCTGATGAAGATATTTGGAGAATGTGTATATATATATATATACTGGTTGGTGGTTTGGAACCTTTTTATTTTTTCCATATATTGGGAATAATACTCCCAGTTGACTAATATTTTTCAGAGGGGTTGAAACCACCAACCAGTATATATATATATATATATTTATTTATTTATTTGCTTTTACACAGGTTTGCAACATAGTTTGTTCGACCAAAAAGGTTGTCCCATGATTTTTTTTTCACCGACTAGCCTACCAGCCTGGGCTAGGTATTCGATTTTGAACGCCAACTACATGAAGTCCCGCTTGGAACCTCACTTTGACATTTTCCCAACCAACAAGTGCCTCGGTCCCAGGACGTCACAAGAATATAGCTTTCGGGTAAGCTCACATATGAAACAAACCAACCATTTGAAGGTCATTTTCCTCGTGAGACCATGAGTTGTCAAATATCTATGAGAACTTTCTGGAGGGTAATATATTAGACGGGGAACTCGTCCCGACATAGCCTTAAGGTATGTGAACTAATTCCGACCCGGAGAAATTTTAAATTTACCAATGCGGGCCCCCAACATGGGGAAAGAGAGAGAGAGAGATAGATAGATAGATAGATAGATTCATAGATAGATAGATAGATAGATAGATAGACAGATAGATAGATAGACAGATAGATAGATAGATAGATAGATAGATTGATATGATATGATATGATATGATATATACTAAGAGAGAGAGAGAGATACTACAGCACAAACATCAGTGGTCTCTGGTCAAGCGGGGCATGGCCTGATAACTTATTCATGCAGCACCGCATGGACACAATGCGACGGGTTTTAGTAGAAAGGGTAGGTGCACAAGCATCACAAAGACGTAAACTGTAAGATGTGTCATCTCCCGATAGCCGTTCCTTTTGCATCATTCGAAATATGTAGATATCCACTGGCTGGCCATTTTGCACAGTTCCTCTCAAAAATTGGGGGACATCTACATTCCCAGGATATCCGCCATCTTCATCTCAGCTTCCTTTTCCTCCCCAGCCATAACCATTATGAGCATCACCAACCATAAGACCGCAACAGGAGTAGTAATTCAATGATACCAGTACCAGGCGTATCATTTGCCATCTTCCCAGTCATGAGGAACAACAGAGGTGCGCTTTCTCAGATAAATACTCCAAGTGGTCTTTTCTACTTGGGGCTGCAGTTCTACCAATAAGTGGCTTATCGAAGGAAGTTTAGAAGTGAAACTTCCGACAATATGGACAGTTGAAAAGCAGAGGTGAGAAGAGTCAGAAGAGACAAGATCAGAAGAAAGAAGATGCAGATGCGCGAAAGGGTAGAAAGTCGCGAAACACTGTGTTTTTCCAATGATTTGGGGCTCCGGAGGGTCGAAAAGTAGGCTCGCTAAAGCGGCGGGTGCGGAGCCAGCTGGCCAGATGAGAGATGAAAAATTGCACGCCGTTGTGGCGCGAAGCACATTTCCAAGTCAAAATGTACAAAACACCATGGGGTTCGGACCACTTTTGGAAGTTGAGATGTCGAAAAAGTGCACGCCGTTGTGGCGCGAAGCATTTCCAAGTGAAAAGGTACAAAACACCTCAGCGTCGGACCACTTTTGGAAGTTGAGATGTCGAAAAAGTGCACGCCGTTGTGGCGCGAAGCACATTTCCAAGTCAAAATGTACAAAACACCATTCTCGGACCACTTTTGGAAGTTGAGATGTCGAAAAAGTGCACGCCGTTGTGGCGCGAAGCACATTTCCAAGTCAAAAGTGTTAAAAACTGACGGTCTCGGACCACTTTTGGAGGTTCAGATGTCGAAAAAGTGCACGCCGTTGTGGCGCGAAGCACATTTCCAAGTCAAAATGTTAAAAACACCAGGGTCTCGGACCACTTTTGGAGGTTCAGATGTCGCTTCGCTTCGCTTCATTGCACTACACTACATTACACTACACTACACTCCACTACACTACATTACATTACACTACATTCCATAACACCACAACTACAACTACACAACTACACAACTACACTACACAACTACACAACTACACAACTACATTGCACTACACTCCACTACACTAAATTACACTCCACTACACTCCACTACACAAAATTACACTACAGTACACTACAATACACTCCACTACACTACACTACATTACACTACACTCCACTACACTCCAGCACACTAAATTACACTACATTACATTACACTACACTACACTACATTCCACTACACTCCACTACGCTACACTACAACTACAACTACAACTACACTCCGCTACACTCAAGTACGGCACACTACACTACATTACACTACGCTACACTCCACTACACTACACTACGTTACACTACACTACCTTCCACTACACTTCACTACATTACACGACACTACATTCCACTAGATAGGTAGGTAATTAGATGAGAGAGAGAGAGAGAGCGATAGATAAATACATAGAGAGATCGGTAGGTAGGTAGGTAGATAGTCAGAGAAAAAGAGAGAAAGAGAGGAGACCTCAAGCACCTTTCGGTCCGTCAGTGGCTTCGCTCTGCCATCCCTGATTCACAACAACCAACGTCTCCTATAGGTTTTCTATTTTTGAAACTTCCGCCACCGCCTGTGCGGTACTACTGGTATAATTATATTATATGTATAATATAAATACAGTATATAGCAATAGTTGTAGGGCTTATCTTTCAACTTATGGAGCTCAAACTCCCAGTTCTATCCCCTTCTACCCATTATATCAATAGCCCCTAATTTTTTTTATGGTCGCTCCCTACATCACCAAGCTCCATGGCCCCTCCATGGCCGAGGAACAACAAATGCGCGCACGAGTTCATCATGGACTTCTCCGACATTCGCAAGAAGACGGGCATCGTCGAGGAGGACATCGCCAAGCGCCTGCAGGAGCAGCGAAGTCGGACGGGGAGACCGGGAGACCGGTCTCGACCGTTCCAGGAATCCCTGGGGATTTGAAACATGAACCAAAACTGCTTGGTGGTTGGAACATGGCTTTATTTTCCATTTCATATATGGGATGTCATCCTTCCCCTTGACTTTCATATTTTTCAAGATGGTTAAAACATGTTAAAACCATCATCCAGAAAATGATCAGATGATTTTTCGATATTTTTCGATGAAATACGAACAGATAGAGGAACTTTGAAGCATGGCCATTTTTGTTGATGGCCACTAGATTCCAAAATGTCGAGATCAACTCAAGCACATAAGGGCACTAACCCATAGTTGTCTATAGTTATCTTATATAATTTTCCCATATCCCATATTAGATATAAGATATATAAATATATACACAACCCATAGTTAATGTATATTAGGACTATAACTTTCCCATATTTTCCATATCTTGAGATCCCATTTATATTAAAAAAAATCAAAACTTTCCCATATTCCCTAACCCCATTGACCTTAGATCCCATTTCTTGAGAATAGATATAAACTTATTTCCCATATATAGATTCCATAGCTTTCCAAAGCCATAGTCAATGACTAGGACTAAGGACTAAGGATTTCCCATATATTCCCATATTCCCTAAGCCCATTGACCTTAGAAGGACTCTGTCGCTGGTTTCCAGGACTATGGTTTTCACGCGCCCACCATGTCTTGGCCGGTGCCACACTCGTTGATGATCGAGCCCACTGAGTCGGAGGCGGGCAATCCAGGTGAAACTTAGGGAGCCAACAAGGATTTGACAGGATTTCATAGGGTCAAGATAGGATTAAAGATGGATTAACCATGGTTTAACATGGGATTAACATGGATTAATGATGATTAGTGATTAGTGAACATCAGCAGTTTCAAATAGGATAAATTACATCAGTAGAAATGAGGCTTCAGCAATGAAGATGAGGATCTTTCAGCAACAAAACTGGGGTGTCGACACTGTCAGACTAATCGATGAAATGGCCATGTTCTCCCAGAACTGGATGGCTTGTACCAGGGTTTCCCGTAGATTTTTCTTTAAGCCAACGACATTCCATCAAATTCATGTCTTAGGATCTCAGATATTTTTGTTGAGACTAATGCTAAGACTGGCCACCCGAAATGAGTGAACAACCCAAAGGACGAAAGATCAAGCATCGCGCAATCCACAATTAGCTGCCTCAAGTGTGGACAGTATCAGGTGACGTGAAGGGAGGAGTTGATTCATGACTTCTCACTGATTTCATCAGATTTCTATATCCATTTCTATCCACTTCACAGATCCGAAGAACACGTGTCAGAAAGTGTGTGACATTTTAGAGAAAACGGATGTGGAATATTCATATCAACCCAGGAATATACCCCAAGTTTAGTAATTTGGGGGTGGTAGCATGTATAAACGGAAATATCACTATTTGCCCCCCCCAATATTATCCCATAAGTATCGCAGTAATCCAGAATTATCCAAAAATTATGGCATTATGACATTATAATGATTGCATATGCCATAATTATCCCATTTCATCATGCCAACAATCTCCCATATTATTTATATGTAATCCCATTCCCCTCTGAAAATAGCTTTGTTTTAATGGAAACTAATCTTCCAACCCAGACAACTGCCAGGGTTTATGTTAATTTACCAGAGGGTAATAACCAATAGTAACCATGTATAGTTCATTATGACTTAACCATATATAGTACTGGTCAATCAGTAACCATATATATATATTTATAATTTACCAGAGGGTAACATGTATTAACATCTATTTACATCTATTAACATGTATTAACATCTATTAACATCTATTAACATGTATTAACATGTATTAAGCATCCAACTATTGGGATACCCAATGACTAGTTAAGCCATACCTTTGAGGACAAGGCTGAGTTGGACCGCTTCTGCGATGCCATGATCTCCATCCGAAAGGACATGGGGAGATTCCCCATGACCCGGTAAAGTAACATGGCGAACATCACCAAAATGTGTGTTTTTAAGAGGTAAATCACTAGTCAAAAAAAATCATCATAACTCATGTTTTTTTGGCCATGTTCATCCATTTTCTATAGCTATAGCTAGTTATATGTTAGTTCACTGGAGGGTAATAAGATGAACATACTGTTTAGCAAGTCTTTGTGGCTTGGTGGTACCTCCGCATCTGTTGACATGCTTCTTACGTCTTGTTACCCAGAGGTTAGGTGTATTTCGTGCTGAAATTGTACACTGACATAGCAGCAGAAACATTGATATTTGCATTGGGTGAGAGAGGTTTGTGCAAACGCATGCCTTTGGGATTTGGATGTTACTGGACCATGGATGAACATGTGGGGCAGTTACCTTCAGAATTCTTTCCCCAAAACTGATATCCATCCCCTGACCTGCCCAAAGTCAAATTACCCTCTGGTAAACTATGATAACTATGGAAAATCACAATTTTTAGATATTTTGAGTGGGTAAATCAACTATAAATGGCCATTTTCAATAGCTATGTCAGCTATTACCAGAGGGCATCCTATATATTATCTTGGGGTTCCAGATTTGGGGCTATCAGATCCAGTGTCATTTTCCAGGAGATTGCCAAGATCGAATCTGGAGAATGGACTCTGGCCTGGATCCAGAGGGTGGTAGTTTGGGAAAATCAACGCAGAAATACCGAGAAAGACGGTTTAGGATCGGAGGTTTCATATGGTTTGGTGGAATTTCTGAGGGCCCCTGAGGGCCTGGAAAGTTCAGTGGCTCAAAATGCTGACTGTTGACATTTGTTGACGAATAGTTCCTGAACTGTTCAGCTGGCATCTTCCAAGTGGCTGGCAGCCCCTGGAGCCCAGACTGGCCGGAGGGGATGAGGCAGTTCACCCTGGTGACTGTTGTGTTTTTTCCCAAACAGCAGCTTATATAGATAATAAATGATCATATACTGTAAATATAATATATATATAATATTATGAGTGGACAAATATAATACAATATATAGCATATAGAATCATATATGATAGATATAATGTATGTGTATATGTATATGTATATATTATATATATATAATATATATATATAATATATATGTGCGTGTGTGTTCATCCCCCTGTTTGACATGGTGGAAGATGAACATCTATTCACCACATGTGTTGATCTATTCCGATGATCAGCTAGATTGTAGGTTGTTTTTTGTTTTTATCAACATGTTCGAAAACATATGTTCAGAACATTTAGAAAACATAGTGCCACTGTGGCATTGATCCATCCCCATTTCTTTCAAGGACTGCTGAAGAGAATCCTTTGAAGAACGCCCCTCACACGCAGCAGGAGGTTTGCGCCAGCGAGTGCCTCGGTCGATAGGTTTTCTATCACTGGTGGTACCCGATGGTCCCTGCAGTTATGAGTTGGTTCATCGATCCCATCAAGTATGCATGTATATATATATATAATATATATATATATACCATAACTGCCATAAATGAACCATAAATATCCATATATACACACACCATATATAGAGGTAATTATTTATGGATATATATATATATATGAGATAAGTACCATCAATGTCCATAAATCCTAATCAACCTCTACTCATTCAACCAAGTTGACTCACTCAAAAGGCATCACCTTGTGTAGAATATGACTATACAATATGACCCATTACCATCCAGTACTCAGCTCCCAGTGGTTTGCTGATGCTAGGTGGAAGCATCCCTACACCCGAGAAGAAGCGGCCTTCCCTGTCCCCTGGCTGCTGCAGCGTGGCAAGTTTTGGCCCACCGTGGCACGAGTTGACAATTCCTTGGGCGACCGAAAGCTCAAGTTGCGCTTGGAGGAATGAGCGAAACAAATCCCTTCCATCTGAGAGCAGTTGTCGTTTTGGCTGTGCACTCCTAACTGTACTGACTTTGGCTTCTAGAACGTTTTTTGGTCAAACCCAATGATTCTATCAGCCACGATGTACAATGGAGTAACCGGAGTAACCAACAAAAGGAAGCATGTGAAGGTGTAGATCAAAGACTACGAGGAGATGAAGTTTGAATTTCAGGAGAGCACGGCTTTTTTTCCTCTTGTGTGCTTAGATCATCGTAGATCCCAAATAGACATCGAACATCTTTTGTGGTCTCACCACTGACGTAACGTCCACAGGGACGCGTCAACGCCAGCAATCCTCTCGCCGCAAGACCACTTGTGAGTGGCCCTGCGTACTCGACAAACATCCGCGGAAATACGCATTCTGTGTGATAGAAATGATGCTTAGGATCAGGGTCACTATTTTTCATGGTTAATTGAAAGTCAACCACCATTTACGTCCATCGTTTGCTTGTTCTCATGATATTCCCAATTTTGCTTGGGTCAATGGCGTTGATGGATCTATTTCTTCCATTTATCCAGCTTGCATTCTCACAAAAATAACCTTGGAGCTGATTCTTCGCATTTTATGGTCGACTTCAGAGGATTTCATGTGTAGCAACCCCAAAATAGACAAGTAAAATCCTACTAAGTCATGGTGGACAATTAATTATGGTAAATATTTTTTCAATCCTTTTGGATTCTTTTGGGGGTTGCTCTAATGAAGAATCGTCATTCATCAGTGGGTAGCATGGGACACCCTGTTTGAAACAATGCCCTATACATTGTTCGATGGCACCCTTAGTCCCTTTGTCATGTGGAGGGTCAGAACGGCGGAAGGTACCCGGCCCATGGCATTATCGGTGAGGAGTTTGGCAGTGTCCGGACTGAGGCAAAGTTGGCACCTTGGACGAAGGGTGATAAGATTGTCTTAGTACATTGAGAGTAGTAGCCCCGCCCATTCATGTAATTATGAGGTAAATTATTCCCACAACTAATGTCAACCTGAGATGAAAAATCGGTTGTATTAATCCGGGATTGGCATGGATTGACATTATCTGATGGTGAGGTGAATTGTCTGCAAATATTCGATGTATGCTCGGTCTTGAAGGCCCCAATATTTTGAGGCCCAATGAATAATGGCTTCATTTCTTCAGTCCAACAATGTCCAACAGTATGACCACCATGAGGAATGCCAATATTAGAACCATGTCCATAAGCCATACAGGTGCATCAGAAAATGACCCAACAGTTGCCCAGATGCTTCCGGCATAGCCGAGCTTTGCAAGATACCCCGACGATAACTTGCCGTGGAACATCCAGGGCGACGTGCAATATAGTTACATAGTTGAATAAGGTGCTTTGCAATTTGGCTTACAACTAGCTTAGCCAGGATTTATGCCATTTACAAATAAAATAAAAGCTAGATATACTAAATTAAAATGCATGCATGCATACAGACATACAGACAGACAGAGAGACAGACATAGATATCATATACACCATATATACATGCGCATATGTATATAACTGCACATACGTATATATATATATATATATATACATTAGGTACATATACAGTATACATCTATACTTAACGGTGTCTATAAGCCAACAAGAATAGACCACAAGGGCAGCTTCCAAAAGCCATGAAGGTGGATTGACACTATAGCGACTGAACCCTGGCCTACCTCAGAATAGATGATAGCGAGTACGGGAGCCCCAAAATATGTTTTTGACATATCTCAGCTTTCAACTTACGTGCAACAGATGGTAATGTTGCCCTGTTTGTTCTAAACTGGCACCCAGTTTAGTCTACTTTGATCCAGTTTAATCGTGTTTAATCCAGTTTCATCCCATGGTTCATAGAATTGGATGATGGGAAAATTTACAGGAAAGCCCGATATTTGATGGTAAAAACCCATGGTTTCCGGTTAAGATTTTCCCTTAAACCAACCCAATGAATGGTCATCCATTTTCCCCCATTTTCATTTGCCAAGATCAGGGTGTTAGACGCAGCTGTATCAGGTCTGGGTTTTGGATCCAATCGATGGCACCAAGTCTTTCATCACAGGCCTCAGGATTCGATTGGGGCCATGCTGGGGGTCCCCCAATTCCAGGGGATTTCCGTGATTTAATGGTGGTTGAACCATCAATGGGGATTTATGTCATGGGATTCAATGGGATCTGATGGGATTTACCCTCTAGTCATTTAACATTGCTTTATTGAACATCACAATTTTCATGGGTAAATCATCGAACCAAATATTAAATGATCCATTTCCCATAATTAGCTACGTTCAATTGCCGGAGGGTGTTCATATACTGTTCAATTCGATTTGCAATTCTTGGGTCTAATGATCTAATGGGTCTAGCATTTTGTTTCAGAGGAACCCATTCGGTTGCGTTGTTTGAGGATGTCTCCTAGTTCATCCCTCTTTGGACCGGTCGCGGTCATACCAACTATTGAACAATCTCCCGGTTGTGCAGCCACCAAAGTGCCCCATTTATGTAGATGATATTGGATGATTTCTGAGGTTCGGTGAAGACATGCGAGCCGTGTTATCACACTGAAATCATGACCTGAATTTTTGATATTTGAATTTTATATATATATATTTAATTATATATATATAATTATCCATATATATATATCTCTCTCTCCCAGATATGCCAGCTGGCAACCAGGAACAAACAATGTTCGTACAAAATTCTCTCACCTCTCATTGGGTTTTGATATGGTTTTATCCAAGTTTCGGTGAGTTGCTCGCGCTTCGAAGAGGCAAACCGCTCTTCGGCACCTTAATCGCACTGCTGAGGGATGGGCGGCCCATCCTGGGAGTCATCGATCAGAGTCTTGGCGGATGAACTTGGAGATGTTCTAAAGTCATGTGAAGTCCATTAAGATCATTGACTTAAGTTTTGATTATTAAGATATATTAAGATCATAATGACTTATTTGTTTATTTTTTTGGAGTATAATGATCTTTAAGTATTTTGTAAGTCATAATTACTGTAAAGCCTAGTGAAAAATACATCGCTCTTTAAGCAACTAACCCTCTGGTGATTTCACCTACACAACGGGGACTTGGTCCTGAGGGGTTCCTGTTTCAATTGTATCTTCAAGATCCTTCAAACCAAAGAGAACGGAAGAAAACTACAGTTGATGGGAACCTCTCCAAGAAAAATATGGATTTGGATGTAACAGACATGTTGTGAAATTGAGATACTTCTCCTGCTGCAGTGGATGGAATGCGTACCTACAGATCTTGAAGTGTGCAAGTGTATACCTCTAAGAGAGTCAGCAGTACGGCACTTGTGGTAAGTCTAGTGATGTGGCACACCCTAGCGGCCCTAGCATCAACCGCATTTGGGTATGGTTTCAGAGAAAAAGACACCATGGAGTTTAGTTATGATTGTCTATATCCAGTGGTTAGGCAGGGGGGATCGGTGCGGGGCTAAGGGTATCCATATTCCATATTGAATGGGGAGTCTGTTGGAGCTACGAATGGAGTTTCCCACACATATATGATAGTTAAGATGGGCTCATTCATGGTTGTTACTTGGACTGATAGTTACAAAATGCTACCAATGAAATACTAATAATCGACTTGTTATAGAGTTCCCCAACACTACTATATAAGTTAAGTTAAGTGTATTTTTTCCTTGCCTTGGCTTTCACCCGTCGCCAGCACTGAGGTGTGTTCTCCGGGAGCGCTGGGTGGGTGCCAATGGGCAGACGGCTCCCCGGATGCCAAGTTTATGGATCCGATCGTCAAGCTTCGGCCCATATGCGGTGGATTTTTTGAAGTAAACTATATAGGGGCCCCCAAGATAGCTAAGTTGGTTTATAAGTGGCTTAACAATGGTTTATAGTAGATATAACTATAGTTAATGGGGATTATAATGGTTTATAAACCAATTTATAATTGGGGGGCCCCATCCTGTAGTAAACTCTGGTATAGTCATGCCTTGGCCTTGGCAAACCATTCTTAATAGATTTAGTAGATTCAAGGATCTTTAAATTGGATAATTGGATAACTGTCTATAGGTGTTAAATTACTAATTCCATCGATTTGCTGCCCATCCGGCACCGCAGTTCGGATCCATTTTGGTTTTGATGTTCATGAGATACTGATGCACCTACAGAACTGCAACCTGATGTTGTTTGGCGGCTCACATTCATGCGTTGTGATATGTAGATAGATATATTATATTATGTTATGATATATTTATTATTGTAGTATGTTTATTATGTATCTATGATGTATCTACTATGTCGGTCCTGAGATGGGTCTCCGTGAGAGGTACAGAGGTAGTCTATGTAGCACGAGATCTCTGTGATGGTCACAGTTCCCCACCACACATGCCATACTCAGTATCTGTTGTTATCCATAGACTGGAAAACTAATCGTAAGAGTTTGGAAGACATTTGCAAAGGAGTTCAGAATAAGCTTTGCAAGCCTCGCGGGTAGATTGGACGTGTGGTGTGCTCTGAATCTCCGAAGCTGGAAATCCACGGGGATATTCCTGAAACATAGCCTTTAGGCCTTTAGGCATTATATATGGTAGGTACCTCTAATAAATCGATTCCTGAAATGGCCAGTGAGGAAACAGCAGTTTTGAATGGTCAGAAACTGCAGGTCTTCAACAAGCAGCCCATCCGTGCTGGCGGAGCGATAAAGTTGAAGGACGCCATGATGTACGCCACGACGCCCCACATGTTTGGTGTGGACACCCAACTTGAATCCTGCCATGAAAAATTCTGTGGATGGAAGAAATCCTGCACCAGCTGGAAACTGTTAGTAACTATGAAACACTGTAAATCATGGGATTATAAGGAGATAAACCATCTACCAAGTGGTGCAGGATTTCGCAACCATCCACATCATCCACCTAAATTTAAGGATCCCTTTTCAAATGAATACCGGGTTGTTGGGGGACAAAAATGCCATGATTTCACCGGGGGAATTTCTTTAAATGTATATAGACATATATAGAGATGTATAGCCAAAGAAGTTGTGGGCAAAGGGAAGCAAAAACAAACAAACGAACATGTGCAGTGAAATCTGTAGAATGATATATTCCTATGTTGTCGTGTATGCATACATTCATACACACAAACACACATATATTTATACCTACGTCTTCAGAAGTATGTTAAATTTCTGCTCTTTCAGCAAGAAATGCTTTTCTGGGCTGAGAGCGATAATTTCTGCTCTCGAGCGATTCTTGTTATTTTGATGTTTCTCATCCTTTTCAATAACTAATCACCATTTTTCACCCTCTATCCCTAGCCATTCACTTGGCTCTTTGGGTGAAAGCCCCTTGACCGCCCTGGCTGCAAAGATCCGCCATCTCAAGGAGGCGTGCCCCTTCTTTTTTAGCTGCACTGATCTTCACAGGATGTCACCCAGCTCAGCCACAGGCATTCAACCTCGGCAGGTACAGCATGGCGAAGGGCATCACTTAAGATGCGTTTGAAGGACCAAAGGGGGGGGGCAAGATGTGGGAACACCTTATGGGATTTCCTTCATGGATTTTATGTGGATCGTCATGTAATTTTTGCATCAATTGTCTCTGAGAACATTTGAGGGCCCAAAGATCTAGGAATTTTCCAGTGACTAACACGTGCCACGATGAGCGTTGCACGGGACTGGGAAGCCGACTCACTCATTAGAAGCCGTGGCCGGCAAAACAACCAGTTAACGGTTTGGCCATGCAAGAAGTCAGTAGGGATCCCAAGCATGAGGGCATGCTCGATGAATTCTCGCATGCTGGAGCTGACAGCAAGTTGGTGGGTTGCCATGGTGGACAAACCATGTGCTATCCCAATTGGCATGATGAGAACCGAGGCCCGGTTGTACTCAACTTCTCTTGTACTCAACTTCTCCCAATATCATATGAAATCACCACAGTTTCTATCGAACCTTTAAAGAACCCACCATACTTGTAGCTTATAAATTATAAACCTTAAGTGGTTCTAAATTATTTTACTTCCAAAGTTGGCCATCCTGAAAATAAATATCTACCATTATCTACCCAAATTTGAGCCCCTGAGGTGGCTCGATTTCGAGAGCTCTTAGTGCTTGAAGAGGATGCAAGCGTTCTGATGCTTGACTCATGGGGTGTGAAGCGACTGTTCAGCCATGTGTTGAGAAGATGGTTGGCCGGTTCGGCGAAGCCTCGTGAACCTTGCCACCTAATGATTAAGTTGTTTTCTATTTAGGGATAGGTTTAGAGCCACCCGCATTCAAATACATAAGCCCATATTTTGATAAAGGTTTGGGTCCCCGGGGTTGTGGTTATGAAGTTAACCATAGTTAACCAAAAAAACATGTCTAGCTGGACTGTTTCCGGCCTAAGGATCCTACGTTGAACGCCGTGTGGGAAATCATGGACTTTGCATGGGGTGACCCTGAGACCAACGCCGCCATGGGTGATGATGATGATGATGAGAATGCCTCTGATGCCCCCCCTTTGGCCATCATGGATGGGAGCGTTTCTGATAATGATGGTGATCAGAATGGGCCTGTCCCAACTACCCCCGTCCGGCATGAAGGTGAAAGTGCCCGCTACATGTCTGATGATGAAGATGTTGAAGTGGTGCCTGATGATTCCCAGGACATCTTCATGGATCCCATTCCCAACAACTCCGTGCCCATGGCCACCCAGGAGATGCCCATGGATTCCCAGGAGAATGAGAAGAGCCCGATGGATTCTAAGGAGATTCCCATGGATTCCCAGGAGATTCCCATGGATTCCCAGGAGAATGAAGAGAGCCCGATGGATTCTAAGGAGATTCCCATGGATTCCCAGGAGATTCCCATGGATTCCCAGGAGAATGAAGAGAGCCCGATGGATTCTAAGGAGATTCCCATGGATTCCCAGGAGGAAGGTCCTATGTGGACTGACCTTGCAGACTCCCAGCCTGATCCCCGCCCTCCGGCTACTTGGGATGATTTGACAGTGGATTCCCCAGGTCCGTCCACTGATCTCCCTGAGCAGCCCAGCAGTGCCAGCATCAGCATGCCACCGCCTCCACCAGTTGATCCTCAAGTCTTGCAGCGCAAGATGGAAATCAGGGCACGCATGGAGGAGTTGAGGTTTGGGTTACAAAACATGTTCTTGTAAGAGTTAGTTCCCATAAGCCTAACCATGATGCTAGGGATGGAATAACTGGTCGTTCCTTAAAGATGGGGTTCCTACACCATGTATCCCTTCAAAATAATTGGAGGAAAATGGGGTTGGCGTCCCTTTCAGGCAAAAGATGCAGGACAAGGAGAACTCAAACCTTGCCAGATTGAAGAGTTCTGCTGCTTTGGGTATTTGGGTGTTAATTTAATATTATTTTTTTCTTTACATGTCTTGGCGGGGTGCCATCTATACCTTGGCCATCAAAAAAAACATGCCATCCATCCAAATCCATAGTGGACTTCATGTCAACAGCAGCCATTGACCAGCTAAGGCGTCACTGCGAATGTGGATACGATGGAGACGCTGCCCTATGATCCTAAAGCACCTGTGCCTGATGCCCTTTCCACCATCGAAATCGAAGCCCGGGGTTGTAAAACTGCATTGTAAAACTGCATTGTAAAAAAAACTTATCAATTTGTTTCTCAAAAACAACATGTGTTTAACAAGTCTTGCATTACCCAGCTTCTCAACTCCCCTGCAAGGACTCTCCCGCCAAAGCACCTTCCGGATGCGATGGGCCATTGCAGGACGATCAGCATGGCCATGGTTCTGACAACGCAGCGGGTGGTGAGCTTCAAGCACCAGAAGTTCCTCCCTCCCAGGAAAAGACCACCAAGGAAGTTGCGGAGCTACAGGCTGAACAACCAGCATTGGAGCCTACTGCAGAGCCTGGTGTGGATTTGATGGAAATTCAGGCATCGTACATTGAAAACAACACATAGGAATAGAATACCACCACATTGGTCCCTTATCCATGGTTCCCAGCAAAGATTACTTCAAGGCTACCAATATTTTTAGGACACCTAGCGAGCTTACACGCGTTTGCACCTTATAGCCACCTTACATTTTTATAAGCAAACCCCTTTGGAGGAAGCACCCACCGTTACTCGCCGAGAACAACTTGGAACAGACGATCATCAGCTTGAACCGGACACTGGCCGCGGCCGTGGTCAAAATCGAGACCGAGGCCGTGGGCGTGGCCGGGGGAAGCGCAATGGAAAGCAGGTGGATGAGGAAGACGGGGAGGCAGCTGAGACAAATGAACAAGGTCAGGAGATCAAAGCTCCCAAATCCAGGAAGAACGAGAAGAAGCAGCAGAAGGAGAAGACAGAGAAGGAAGAAGGCAAGCAGAAGACGGGTGAGATTGTCAAGCAAGACAAGGGCAAGACTACTCCTCGCAGGCGTGTGCCCAAGGCCAATGCCAAAAGCAAGAGCGCAAAGCCCAAGGGCAAGGCACCTGTTGCGAAACGTCCAGCTCAGAAGAGCGCTGCCCGCCCTTCCAAATCGGCCAAGATCGTTGAGCAGCCTGACAAGTCCAAGGACAAGCCGGACGAGCAAGCACCACCTCCAGCCCCAAAGGGTTCCAGAACATGGGGTGGCCGTTGGATCCCAGAGGATGAGTCGTCAGCAGCTTGGAAGAAGATGCAGGCCATCAAGAGTGTCTTTGAGAAGTGCATCGCCGACAAAGTGAAGCGGCAGTCGTCTTTGCAGCCGCCCTTCTACAAGTTTTGTGCTGCGGCCTTTCGTCAGCACGCCGTTGACAGCGACGAAGCCTCGCTGGATCAGTTGGTCGCTGTGGCTGAGCTTCAAGTGTCATCATTTCTGAACGACATTGCTCGCAGCTTGTCTTTTTAGTATTGGTTGGGCAGGGATGGGCAGGTTTTTTTGAAGAAAAAAAGGACCCTTTACAGTATACATTTCCTTGTAAGAAAAAAGGATGAGGACAAGAATGCTGAAGAAAATTCAGATCCCAAATTACCCAAGCATGATTGATTTCTTTCCCTACAAAAGCTAAGTGAGGTAAGCAGCTGAAGGATGCGGCTACGGGTGCTACGGAGTGAAAAGCTCATAGCTGGGAGGCATGGCTGTACCATGACAATGCCTGTGCATTGCATATGGGTTGGCTGGCCTTGCCCTGCCAGTGACCTAGTGGAGAGGCCTAGGTAGGTTTTGATTGCAGTGCTGACATGCACATGTGTCGATTCCCTCCAAGTGTTGGTTTGCCAACACCATTGAAGTTTGTCAGGAATTTTCCTAATATGCCGCTCCATTCTATTCTTGGGATATTACATTATCTGATCTTTATGATTCACTGATCAATGCATGGAGGACGGATTTTAGATTTAGGGATTATCATACGTAGCCCATGGACGTGCCAAACTGCCAGTCCTCATCGGCAGCTGCAGGGTAGACGCACCGTTGATGCCCACCTGCATGGCAACATAGCGAACCCAGGGAAAATGATTGCAGCGAATAGCAGTTCATCATACTTAATCCTAGTAACACTAGCTGGATTCAACGATATGATAAAGATGTTTTGGATTGTGTTTGATATTGTTTTCGCCCCTTCCTTCTATCAGAGTTTCTGGGTTGTTTCGTAAATGCCATGCCCATGCAGGAGTCCAACCACGTGATCAATGGCTCCCAAGCTCCGTCGTGGGCAGGCCTCTCTTGCCAGAACCGGCTTCTTTAAATGTAGTCCTGGCTTGTTTGTGTGGGTGAGGGTTCTGTTTCTGTCAGCTCACAACTTGTTGCTTTGAGCCAACTGGTGATCAATCCAGACTTGAAGTTGCAATCTCAAATTGCCAATACATAATACATTGGATTACACTGGTCTTTTTGGATCGAGGGATTGCTCCATTAGTTTGATTGGGTGGTATCAACTTGGCCTGGCCTAATCTTCGGTTTGCTGGTGGCCGCTATGACCCCACATGTCGACCTGGCGCTCCGCAAAATGCTAGCCATGGGTGTTCCCAAGGATTCTTGATTACAGTATCTTTATCTATGGGCCCTTTTTGTTTGGAGGTATTGGGAATGAAGGGGAAAATAACAAAGGGAGTCACATTGTTGCATTGGAAACAAGCGGCAGTGCCTTTACCAACAAATACATTGAGCTGCCGCATCTAAGGATTTCATATCGGTTGTTATCCTGGTCTCGTTCTTGACCGTGCCCATTTGGAACCAGGACGTGGTTGACCAATTGGATGTTATAGACCTTTTTGCAGGTCGAGCCCGAATTGCTAAGCTGGCATCTTGGGTGGGGCTGCGCTCAAGGGCATATGATATTAACTTTTGCCCAGTCAGGCATCCCATGAAACTCAAACGGGGGAAAATGCGACGGAGCCCAATGGACTTGAACGGGGCTGCTGGGTTAGCGCTACTTGGAAGGGAAACCATAATAATACCAGTTTACCCTTGATTTTTCAAGTTATGGATTTTCTCATCCCACAAAAATAACCCCTTATTATGGTCACCTGATTTGGGAACCCTTATAATTGCCACAGTCCATGCCAAGGCTAGCTGTGGCACTATGCATCAGGGGCAAATTTCAGAAGCCTTCTACAGCATTGCTGTGGTGTGCAGTTCATGGTCAGCTGTCAATCTTCACACTTCCCAAAGAGATATTTTGACACCGTTGGGACAATTTTTGCAAAGCGGTGTCAATGCTGGCAACCGAATGGTAGCCAGGTGGGGACCCCCAAATTCATTGAAACCAATTAGAGGCCCATTATGTTTTTTTTCGGGGAAGTATGTTGGTTTTCAAGATGTCATTGAAACTATTACCACTCCCCCTTAGGGTGGCGATGTTGCTGATCTTCCTACAAACCTTGGGGCATTCATGGATGGTGGAAAACCCATCTTCTTCATGTTTACTGCTGCATCCCTGGCTACAGTGGGCTATCAATCTGATCCAAAAATTTGGTGGTTCGGATACTTGAATGAATTCATGCTATTTTACTATTTGTGAACCCTGTACCAAATGTTACTTATGCTTACCCACTACACCAAAGCATTTGCAATGCGTAGTTTTAGCTGAGGTCTACAGAATCCGATTTTGGATGAGGCATTATGGCTCGGCTTCCATGAAGCCGACCCAATTAATTGTGAACCAAGCTGTTCTTGGGGGCTTGGATTTGGGGCCTGTGTCTTAACGTCGCAAAAAGGGGTCCAGGAGAACAACCAAACGATATTTGGATAGCCGCGGAAAACGCAGATATGTTGGCACCAAAGCTTTGAAAGCGTCACAGAATCTAAGCCCAATAGACCAACTTGTTGTTTTCATTTTCTTTTATGACCATGATTTTGGGGGCCATCAAAGTCAATCAAAACTTGGTTTTGTGTTTGTTAGACCCAATTCCAGCTCAGGGTATACCCAGCTGCCTTCGCATCTGCAATTGTCAAATGCATCCCGGAGATGAAGCAAAAGACCCCAAAGCTACAAGTGGAAGTTCCTTTGACTAATTGATATTAAATATTTGTGAATGGCTTACTATGCGTTTGATTCTTTTGGAATATTTGGGGAATGAAATACCTGGAAATCCAACCATTCTTTTGGTACACGAACCCTTTTCCTTTGCCACCGATGTGCTGAGGTTGATACATCGACACCGTTGGTAGAGCTTTTTGCAGCTGCGCCAGCCACAACCTGTGATGGCGCTGAATTTGGGGAGGTGATTACTTACCTCAAAAGGTCCAAATATTTAGACCTCCCATTGGAGTGGCATTCCCACTTCAGGGCAATGTAAAGATGCCCACGAGTCAGAGGCCCTGTCTAATTTGCTTTAAGGAAAAGGTTTCCCAAATATGAAATGTTGATCAAACAAATGGCCCCATTTTGGAAATTTTGGAACATTTACAAAAAAAACAAAATCTGAAACGGCGTTTTTGCCCATCCAAAAAGCGTTTTTTCCCATCCAAAAAGCGTTTTTTTTTTTAAGGTTTTTTTGGACATTTTTATGTTGTCTTCCAATCAATGGAGGAAACCATGCAGCAGTGATGGGTCCCTGAAAATATTTCATGGCCGTCACTTACAATTTGTGATATGTTATTGAAATTCGCTGCAGAAAGAAAAGGAATCTAGACATGTTGCCACCACATGTCAGCTACAAAGCGGGACTTGAGTTAGGATTTGATTGGAAAACCAAAATCTCATATCTCATGAGGCTCAAGCAGGGCTTCCCTTCAGTAACCTGGCTTGTAGGTTTATAGCTGGATGGAGAAACCCCAGTTGTCCAGTCAGGTGTGGTCTTCTGAGACTTTAGTGAAAGGAATGAAACATGTGGTCCGTCAGCCCGATGGACTCTTGACAAAAGCCGAACCAGATGAAGAATTGGCCCTGGAGTATGATGCTTCCAGTCTTGAATTTAGTGCATTGGAAAAGGAATGCTATTGCCATACCAAAGGGTTGTTATGATTATGTTTATATTGGGTGAATTTTGGGGGTTATGATATGTTATGATTTCCTGCGCTTTGGAACATCCTGCTGTGTGAGGCTCTTCTTCGAGAGGAGGAGATGTTGAACGAACAGATCAGTGCCGGATTGGCTCAGCCAGTCCAGCCAGTCGGGCCAGTCAAGTTGGAGGATGTTGGGGATCAGCCCGGCTTGAATGAAGACCACTACGAAGTTGGAATTGATGTTGAAACCGGTGTTTCTTGAATGAATTGTGGAAAATACATACCTGAAAAACCAAACAACATCAGTACTGGTATTTGATATCTTCCTTTGGTGACTGCTCTCTAGCAAAGGTATGTGAGGATGATGGCTATGCTGACTACGCTGCTAACTTGGCAGAGTTAAGCTATGATGACCAGCAACCATGTGAAGGGTATGAAGCTCTTTACGCGTTGACAGTTCTTGATGATGATGCATCCACACTTCCCGGGAAGCCCATGACTTTTCGCCATCAAGAGGGTCAGGAAACCCACGAGACCAAAGTAGCCTGGTGTCCCCAAAAATGGTTTTTAAATTCTCTCTTTTGTGTTGGTTATCTTAGCACCCCATGATCTATTGTAATTTTCAAGGTTCACCTCACCCGGCCTGGCCTAGGAACATGGGCAGGCTGCATCTCAGGCTCGGCCAGTCCCCACACCTTGCCGCGGTGACACGGAGCAGGCTGGTGAGGTGCCGGATATCCGGGATGCCACAGCAAAAGCCCCAAAGCCAGGGGTTTTGCGGATCACCCCAGAAGCTATCTCAGGAAGGCTCAGAAGGGTATTTACCCCAAATGTGCGTGGTGAATACAAAGTATCCTCGGAGATACTCACTCAATGGCGTAACAAGAAGGGCCGCAAGTCCTTGGAGCAAATATTCCAATCAGTGGGATATAGCGCTGAATCTTGGACTTTGGAATGTGTTTATCAGGGTATATCGGGTGAATATCTATTTTTCTGGGGGCCCCCCATCCAAAAGGATTAAGACATTTAAGAACCATACCCAATTATGAAGTCTTCTGGTTGCTTGGATTCTAGCTTTGGTACCCCATTGACTTTTCCTAAGGAAGCTTTCGTGGAGGAAGTTGAAATGATCCGATCTGACCAACTGGAGAACGATTTGGTGGTTGAGGGGCAGTTTGCAACAGAAAAGATGATGCAAGAGTGGGGATGGACCCAGTTACTCGACTCATTAGAAAGGCATTCCACCTATTTGAACATGCCCTGTCAAGCTTGCTGGCAATTTCAATCAACAGACATTGCGAACATTACATTACTTCTTACATGTCAATCAATAAAAATCTCAACATTGAAGACTTTGATTCACCGATTCACCATTTTTTTGGGGTACTTTTGTGTACTATCCCTCAGGACCCGCATAGATGCTGTCAAAGCTGACGCACGTCGGAATCCCAAAACGATGA